ATGCCATTTAGTCACTGACTGGAAATCTTTAAGCCATAGTAAAATGCAGCTTAAGATGCTTTCTAGTAAAACAACAAAAGGTGGAAGTAAAACTTGTGCCTCAAAGCAGAAGACCTGAGGCAAGGACTTATGTAATGACCCAGCAGGTCATGGTATGTGAGGCAGAATTCACATCCTCCAGTAAAAGGCACCACAACAAGTGTACATAGCACCACAGTCGGTTAAAATGCCATCAATAACAGCCTCTGCCGCAGTGGAAAGTTACAGACTGGAAGTGGAAAGTTACTGGGTAGACACATACCACAGTTTTTTTTTCCTTTCTGTCTTTGGTGTTTCAAGTTCACAGACCTGCAGCCTGCATAGTGTTTCAGGAAATGTCACTTTATTTTTTTAATGAACTCATAATCAGGAAACTTAAAGTGAATAAAAGTGCAAAAGTAATGGAAGCAGTTGTTGCTTGTCCTGAAACAAGTAATAAGAAAGTAAGTTAACAAAGGGGAAATACTTGGTAAATGCACGGTGTAAAATCAGAGCTTTAAAAGCGGCAGGTGTTACTAATATCATTAATGATGGCTCTGTTCTGTTAAAGTGTCCCAGTAATTCAGCAGTGAGCCAGCATGCTCAATATCAGTGTAAGGACATTCCTGACAGAGTCAGTTAACAAGATAAGTTTAACTATTTCTTTATCTCTCATACAAGACTAAATAATTTCCACTGTGTCTCCATCTCTTGAATTCCTAAACTGACACAACATAAACAAGTTGCACAATCTGGTTTGACAACATTGTTGTTCAGCATCAGCTTGGTGAAGGCAGGTCCCTGTACTGTTACAAACAAAGCACGTGTACAAAAGTGTATCTCCAAAAAGCAAAGTGTCCTTCACTTTGTCCTAATTTTAATTTGAAGATACATCATGTAAAATCTCAATAAAAATTGGATTTTAGCCCCACTCTCTAACATTAAACTTTACCATGAAATATAAGGATTAGAATCCCTCAGAAATCATATTTTTTGTATTATTGTGGGACTCTATTTCCAATTTATGCATAAAATACATTTTCCTCATTGAAAATCCATATTATGTGAGTTTAAATACACATTTTAGTCATGTCTCCAGGTTTTCACTCAGTCAAAAACATTGTTACACTTCATGTATCTGTGGGTGTTAAAAGTGACAGCAGTGCTGCAGGGGAGCCATCTGTTTGTTCCATAGATACAGGTATGCACAGATCATGAGAGGCCCATTATACATGTATGTACTTGCTGTCAAACACAGACAAAGACAGAGAGAAGGGGTTGGAAAGCAAATAATGCATGAATGATTACATAATATTAATAGGATTCTGTGTATTAGTTCCCCAAGAAGACATCTAGGGAACAGCTAGATTTTATTGTCATAAGTTTGGAAGCTAAATATAGTCTAAGATGCTTAAGGCAAAAATGAACCCTCATTCTGCTGGCAGCAGAGCCCCCCCCCCCCCCCCCCCATGTGGAAACAAATAAAAGGCATAAATATTTGAATTTTAACAGCCACTGAATATGTCCCAATAGTAGGAGGCCCTGGGGCAGACCTAGAACACACTGGAGGGATTACATATCTCATCTGGCCTGGGAACACCTTGGGGTCCCCCAGGAGGAGCTGGAAAGTGTTGCTAGGGAGAGGGACGTCTGGGGTGCTTTGCTTGGCCTGCTGCCCCCGCGACCTGGCCCCGGATAAGCAGGTGAAAATGGATGGATGGCTGGATGAATACTTAATACTGAAATTTAACAGCCACTATGAAAATTGATAGCTGATTTTTTTTTAAAGCCTGATCTAGGGTGCCCAGTATTTCAGTAGGCAGGGCAGGCGCCCCATGTACAAAATTCCAGCCCATTGCCCCCTGCAGCATATCATCTCCTCTCTCTTCTTCCCCCTTCACCCCTCAAACTGTCCTGTCATTGAAAAAAAAATAAAGAAAAATTCAACTGGCTGGTTTGCAGATCCTGTCATGGGTAGCTTGGACGTTGCTGTTGATGTTTTTGAACTTGAATTTTTAGATCTGACTTTAACCAATCAAATCTGAGCAGCCTGTATCTTTTTTCTTTTTTTTTAAACTTTAATTTTTGGATCTCAATCTGTAAACATTGAAAAAATATATATTTAGTGTCAGCTGGTGAAAGTGCAAATCAAGAAATTTCATATTTTAATTTCAAAGAGTTGAATTCAGTACAAATACATTCAGATACATAGTTTTCAACATAAATATTTCAATACTATAAATTCAGTGGTGTTTAAATTTCTATATCATTCAGTGGCTGCCAAAATCAAAATGCTTAAGTCTCTTACTTGCTTCTATACCCCTGCTGCCCCTTCCCTCAGAAAGCCTGTTCACATCACTGATCCTTCAAAATTGAAAGTGTTAAATGTTTTTAAAAACAAGTGTGACTGCAGAAACAACTTGTGTCTCACATTTTTATCAAACTGGTTATGACAATTTGTGTAGTAAATGAATGGAAATATAAAACACAAACTGCAAAGGCAAAGCAAGAGTGGAAACTGTCATTATCCAGTTCCACCACAAGTGGGAAGCATTTCTCCAAAGCACAGCCACAGACAGTCCTGAGATCCATCCTGCCATGAACAGGAAGTTCTCATTCATAAACTGCACTGTACTGAGCTGTAGATAGCTGTTTACATGATGTAAAAATATGACACACTCAATGGAGTCAGCAGCAAAACACATACAAATAGGCAAGCAAAAAAAAAAGGGTTATGGTGCACTGAATTACCACCACCATGTGTCAGTAAGGCCACATCCAACCAGGAAGCAACTGTCTTTTCTTGAGAAATTAAGTAAAACTTTCAGAATAAAATGTCTGATAATTCAAGTGGTTATTTTAAATGTCTGAGGCAACCAGCATGCACACCAACCAGAACCACAAACGAACAGCAACATCAGGTACAAATCAAAGGCTAAACAAACAAAACAGTGATGCTGGCAAAGCAAAACTGCAGGTAAAGCATCAGTGGTAAAACCCAGCTTGTTTGCAAAAAAAAGAATATCAAAGCCAGTGAGGGGAAAATACAAATGTATGCTCGCAGATGTATAGTGGATGTTTCAAGCGTTTCACTCTTCTGTACCTCCTGGATTTCCGTAACTGCTTCTGTCTGCCCCACACAGTGCCGTTTTTCATTCCTGTGGCAGCAGAAGTGCAGACATGGGTGTCCACAAAGCAATTAATGTGCCAGGAGTGAATAAATACTGGAAAACAATATCTTTGCAATGTAATTCATCCATGCCCCATCCACATGTTACATTTGCAGCCCATGTTCAGTTAGCCAAATTCGCCCTAATGCAGGGGCGGATTAACAGATAATGGGCACAGATATTGAAAAGGCCCCCCACCTCACAGCAGCAAGACACACTCTTCATATACTGCTAAAAAAAAAGGGAACACATAATCATCACAGTGTAACTCAAAGTTAATCAAACTCCTGGGGTATCAACCTGTCCAGTTAGGAACCAATACTGATTGTGAATCAATTTCACCTGCTGTTGTGCAAATTGGACAGACAACAGGTGGAAAGGAGAGGCAATTACCAGACAACCCCTGTTTAGGAATGGTTTTGCAGGTGGTGGCCACAGACCATTTCCCTCTCTGTGTCCTTTCTGGCTGATTCTTAGCTAGTTTTGCATTTTTCCAGTGCCCTCACCACTAGTGGTAGCATGAGGCGGTATCTGCAGCCCACAGAAGTTGCTCAGGTAGTGCAGCTACTCTAGGATGGCACATCCATACGCGCAGTGACCAGAAGGTTTGCTGTGTCTCCCAGCACAGTGTCAAGAGCATGGAGGGGATACCAATTACCAATTACCTTTGTCACTGCTGTTTAATTCTTAGTGGTCACCAATGGGGGCTGAGAGACTGTTCACTGCAGGCATCACATCATTTTCACAAACTTTTTCTCATGAACAATTTTGTAAAGTGTATGCCGACATGGGAATTCCCATATATTTGTTTATTAAAAGGGTAATTACATTAATTTCGCATCCTTTTCAAAGGCAAGTGATGATGGTTACAAGACAACGGGCAACCTACACCACATTGTGTTCAGTGGCTGTATCGCGACAAGCTGTAACAAGTCTCGCGGTGTTTGGATTAATAACATTTTAGATGCGTCGGTCAAGCTGTCTGAGGCGTTCCGGAAGTAAGGGAAATAAATTTTACATTGCAATTGATAAGATAAGATCAGATAAGAGATGATAAAGTAAAAATATACTAGTAAAAAATACTGTATGTCCATGATTGATACTACATGATTAACTACAATCTATGAAACAATGTATACGATGTTTGTTTGTTTTTTTTTATAAATTTACTATCATTACCTTTTTTTGGTCTCTACATATGGGAAATAATCCTCAAAAATGCAAAAAAAAAAAAAAAAAGGATAATTGAAATACACACATGGTGGGCAGTATATTTACTGTAAAGATACAGCAAGTGGTAAGATTGCACAGTAGGAAATTGCACAGGCATGTTACACAGTATAAATACAGAGGATATCTATCTATCTATCTATCTATCTATCTATCTATCTATCTAAACACTTCCCCTCATCAACAACACAGTGGTATTAAAACAGACATAAAATGAAATAAGATAAGTGTATAAATAGAAATTAAATTAAACAAATTATACACACACACACACACACACACACATATATATCAACAAAACCAGCATACTTTTGCAGACAAATGAAAAATGTATTTTTATTAAATATAGATTGATATTCATTGATTAATTCAATATTTGACATTTAATACTATTTAACAATTAAAATGTTTATTATATATTTTCCATTTTTATTTTATTTTTAAATAATTCATTAATTATTAATTCTATCATGCAGATTAAGTTATATTTGCTCAACTATAGCAAAATGTTACATTGACTCATATTTATAGACTTTTATTTTGACACTACCGGATGTTTTTGTGTGTTGCATTCAGGCTCGCTTAACCAGTGCATGACGGCTTCACCTCAGCTTCAAGCTCAGGAGCAAACCGACATCAGCTGAGTTTGCATGAAGTACCATCCTTGCAGCGAAATACAGAATTTATTATCACGCAAAATTCAAGACTAGCATTTTACAAAGTTACGTGTAACTGTTAAACCAATGAAATAACTGTCATCTGTCGGAACCACAGAAACAAGATAGGGGCAAAGGAGAAATAACATTACATCAAACCCGGCAAACAAAGAGGTCCTTTTTTCAACGACAACATTTTTCCTCCATATTCTATAGTTATGAGTCATGTGGCCGTCGAAAATGTCCACGGTCTAGAGCAGCAGGTAAGCCGCCTCAGTTTGATGTGTGTTGCAGCGTCAGTTGGTAAAAAGTGTTATAACGCCAGGGATAAATGTTAGCTTACCGGCTAGCCTGAAAACACCGATAACGAGATGCTATCGTGCTAGCTAGCGTTGGGTGCGCTTCAATTGTACACCCGCGTGACTACGAGAGGCTGCGGAGCGGGTAACGACCCAAACGATGTGGAAAACATCGTTGTTCTCTCCGCATTTCAACTGTTTACGTAAAGATATGTGTGCTACACCATTAAGTCGTCTGGTAGTGATATAAGAAAGCTGTTAAATGTGATTGTTAGCTTAAAATGCGGCAGCCGAATGACCAATTGCGCCTGAGTGGTTCCGTCGGTTTTTCCGTGTGCACATATGAAACGCACCCATCAACTATTATCTTCACTGCGTTTGTCTTGCAGCTTGATACAATAATAAAATGGAGGTATGCAGAGATGGAGCTAGCGGGGCTGACACACAAACAATGCGGCGTTTGGCAGCTTAGCCCGCTGGCTTTCTGCTCATACGCAGTATTGCACAGTTTCTCTAAACTGCGTCCCGCTTAAAGAAATGCTCATTTCTTCTGCGTCACTAGCAACGTAGTCGAGCTGTGTCTGACTGGTCAGACAGTTGGATGGCAACAGAAAAGTACTGTATGTTCTCGGTTGATATTTTGGAAAGCTTGTATTGCCATCATATCTACTGGAGCGTTGGATGCACAACATAACAAAAATTTTACCTCATTTTTTTCAGCTGGGATGGAAAACATACTCTACTGGGAATTTTTTAAATGCAGATATCAGTCACTCTTATGAGCTTAGTTTATTAAATATTGCTGCAGTAAAGTAGAGCATCCCATCCTTAATCAAAATTCAGTTTCTTTAAATAAAATCATAAGATCTAAAGTTGTTTCTGTGACAGCAGTTTGAGTCTCTGCTCAGAGAAAGATGGAGACACCAGCAACAAATCTCCTGTCTCTCATCACTTTGATTTCCTCTGTTGTTGTTGATTGTCTCAGACCAGCTGTGTGCAGTTTGCTGACATCACCATAATGGGATTCCTGCACGTTACGGTTAAAATATTTCTCAGAGTAGTGTGCAGAGTGGTCTGCTGCTGATATAAAAAAAACGGATTGTCTCAGTGTCCTCTTCCCTTAAAGGTCCCATGTTGTTAAAGTCAGATTTAAATACCTTTATTTTACATCAGGTATAGGTGCTATATAAAAAATCTAAACCACAGAGAATTGCACTCAGTCCATATTCAGAAACTGTGCCTTTAAACGAGCTGTCAGGACTTCCGTGACGTTGTGATGTCACAACCGTACGATATAAAGGTACAGATTGTTGCTATAGTGCCGTTAAGGGTTGCAGCGGTGTACGGTGGTATAAAAATTGATTGCTATCACACCATGTTTGCCTATCTATGGTATTGGGAGAAAAATACAACCAGGCGAAGAATCTTACCTATATTTTAGTTGTTTTCAAAAATTTTCCACATATTTCCATTAAAAAAATTCAGTCATTTGGGCTTTTTCTGTTTTAGACAGATGCTAAAACAGAGCTTTCAGACAGAGCATTTCATACAGGTAAATTCAGGCAGACATTATGAGGAAAATTAAGTGGTTTTTGTAAATTGAAGCATGTAAACATGTTCTAGGAGAAACCCCAAATGTAGCTATGAACCTGAAAATTAGCATAATATGGGACCTTTAAGTCTGGACAGTTTAGTGACTCTAGTGTTTAAAAGCAAAGCGTTTTAGTAGGCAGCAGCTTTTGATGTCACCTGCTGCAAAAAATCTGCTGAAGAAGTATTCTCTAGACTCAAACATGTAGAACAAGGCTAGATATATTTTGTCTGCTGGAAATACCTGAGTTGTTGTTGTGCTGTTTTTTATGATAATTTGCGTCTGTCTCTCCAGCTCGCTGTCCTAGACTTGAGTGCGGCAGACGGACAAGGTGGAGGTACCAACCGTAAGCAGCCTTTGTTTAAACTGTGCATACACACTCACAAACCTGAACATTTTACCTCAACACACTATAAACTATGGTTATATAAACAAGGAAGTACTCCACAGAGAATAAATTGGGAGGGGCAGGAAAGCAACTAAGGGGATATTTCTCGTTATTGAGGAGTACTACCATTTAAAACTCCTTTAAATTTGAAGCTAATTTATTCACTGATAATTCCAATTTAGTACAGTTTAAATGTGTCATTGACACAAGACAAATTTTGGAAATATCTATTGGATTTCCATGTTTTTTAGCTTTAGATGTGCACCATAGATCAATGAATGTTGGGGGTGCTTCAGAAATTTTCAACAACTTAAAATCAAGTCCTTAAAGTCTAATAATTCATCAAATGATGTTGGACACTGTCTCTCTCTGTCTGCAGGGCGATACATTCCTCCACATTTACGGAACAAAGACGCTTCCAAAAATGGTGTGTAGCATCAAGTTAAAGCTGTCCTGTGGAGTTTTCTTGTAAACAAACAAAAGGCGTTACGTCATGTTTACATTTAGTGTCACTCACCACAACACTTTGTGTGAATCCTTGAGTGTACTTCCCTCCTCATAAAGCAAATCTGAATATTTAGTATTATTTACATCCATGTTAGCCTTCATCTTCCTCTGTGCCTTTGCTGGTGCATCACTACATACCTTTGCACATTACATTACTTGCGTCAACTGTTGATCAGTGAAATAGTGTGAAATTGGTGGACGTATGTGAATCAAGTCGCCGCATGCTTGTGTGTCTAAGTATGCATGCACGATAGAAACAAAATGGAGACCCACTTGTAAAGACATTGCTCTCTAATGCTACCAGGGGTCAAAAACTCCACAGGGTACCTTTATTAAGTGCATTTGTTACTGATTAAAACCATGACTGAAACACTGTCTTCCTGTCCAGCAGGAAATGCCTTTGCTGCCGGTCGACAGGGTGGCTACACCATAGCGCCCGCAGCTAACTGTAAGTTCATCTCTCAGCTTCTAATAAACTCTGCTTTGCAGTTTGCTGCCATGCACTGCTGTTCATTCTGTACTGATTAGATAACATCACTCATCAGTATGTTTTCCAGTTTGTTGCCTCCTCTCAGTGAGGTGATCACTTATCGATCTACAATAAGAATTGATACAGTAATGTCAGCAGTGATGAGTAGTATTCCTGCACATGTGGTGTTTTTGAAAACTCGGATCACTTAAATTTAATTTTAAATGTTTAATCATTGTCCTTTCCATCTTTAGATGGTTGGGACGGGGGGCGCAACAACTTTGTCAATGGCTACCATGACAACCGCATGGCTGGCGGCAACACGTTCACCCGCGGCCCGCCTCGCATGGAGCGCGGCAGAGGTGGCGTCGGAGGAGGTTACCGTGGCAACAGGGGCGGAGCTTTCAACCCCATCAACCCAGCACAGCAAATGGCCTTTGGTGGCTACGAAAATAAAGGTGGGGTTTGAGTTTACTGCATGACACTTAAAACCATCTTTCTTATAAAGTGTAAGATCTGCTCTGCAGGTAACATGTACGGAGTCCCCCAAAGGTCAACGGGAGATCTTTATTTATTTTTTGCCATTTTATTTATATTATATTGCTTATATTTTGTAGGGGTGGGAATCACCAGAAAATCCACAATACAATATTATCACGAAACGTCAGTCACAATTCAATATCGCAATAAAATATAATGTGATATATTACCTTTTTTCAACTGTAAATTATGTCCCCAAAGGAAAACTCTGCCAACATCTGTTTTATCGAATAAGATAAAGTTTTCAGTCTGTTCATCTCACTTGAGCCATAGCCATTTTTTTTTTTTTTTCAGCAAAGTCTATCTAGTGGACTGGAAAAGCAATTGATTATATGATTCTAGTAGGCTACCTAAAGGTTAATTTGCATTTTTAACATAAATAATTTATATAATAAAAAAAAAAGATACTTGGCACTGTGTGACGATTCATTATTGCCACACAAAAATAACGCGATACTATGTTGTATCAATTTTTTCCCCACCCCTTTAATATTTGCAAAATGTTGGGTTCCCCCATAATTAGTGGTGGGCAATATCGAGAGGAGTTATTGTCTTAGATGGATATCATAATCTTAAGCCGGGTACACACTACACGATATCAGCCCGATGCAGCATTGTACGGGGTCGCCATGGATCGTGAATGACAATGAGTGTCGTATGCGATAATCCATCCTTTTATCTCGTGTGGTGTGTCATAGTAGACGACAACCGATGCCATGTCTGGGACGACCTCATGACGTTCCAACAGAAAGTCTGGCATGTTTGATTTTCTTTTTGTTGTTCACGACTTCTCCCGTCACAACCATCACTTTGATCAATAGAAACACAGTGTGATCTGCTGCCGTAGTCAACTGTATGACAACAGCATCCCAGGGTTTTTGATATTTCCTCGAGGGATATTATCATGACAGAGTAAAAAGGGAAGATTATGGCGTGAAACAGCAGAGGCACTTTATCAACCCGATGATTACTGCCATTAGCATCAGGCTAGCAGAGAACTTTATTTCTTTATAATGGAGACGGACAGAAAGTGTCATGTCTGTCGGCCAAGTCATGGTGCGATTTAATTGCGTAATGTGACATAGTGACTGTTGGAACAGACAAAAATGTTGTGTAGTGTGAACCAGGCTTTACTTGTATCTTAAGATGTGCCATGATTAGAGCCAAAAGGAGTCAAGACTGTCCCCTCTTTTTACCTGCAACCTGTACGTAGAGTAGACCTATATATAATGTTAACTTCTTACGTTTTTCAATCTTAAATGGAAAGTTTGTGATCAACTGCTGACATTTTCACCTTTTTCTCTGCAGTGAGACTATTGTAAGGGAATGCAAACTTGGGTGACCCTTGGGCGTAAACATCCTGTGTTGTCTTTCAAGGAGAAAAAATACTCTGCTTTATATGTTGCACCCTGTTTGTGCGTATATCTTCATGATGGTCAGACCAGCTGAAGTTTTCTTCACACACTGATGAATAAGTAGTACTAATACATACTATGAAGTACTAATAATATTGTATTAAAGTGCCTTCAAATAATTTTATGTTCATTCTGCCAGATGCAGGCGGCTGGAACACTGCCAAAGATGCCTATGGCAGTTTTGGCAACAACCGAGGGAAGTCAGCGTTCTTCAATGACAGAGGCAACGCTAACAGAGGGAGGTAAGGAGATGAGACACGTACAGACTGATAAGCTGCTGTCACAGTTTTTTTTGTCTTTTTTCTTTTCTACCTCTTGTGATCCTTTGTGTGTGTTACACTGTCCTGGTGAGAATTTTTGTTGTTACGTAAAAAGCGGGTGGCGTGACTTTATGTATGTCATGGTTGACTAATGGCTGTTGCCTGCCCCTGGCCAACAGAGGGAGCAAGACGCAACAAGGACTGCAGTGTGTGGCCAAGTGGCTGTTCAAAAGATTTAAAATACATAGCATGAAATAAGACTGCTACTTGTCTAATGTAGAGTTGGAAAAGATCGTAGCATCATCCATGTTGCATCATCGTCCTTGTGTTCCCAGGTTTGAGCATGGTGGATTTGGTGGCGGAGGAGGAGGAGGAGGAAACAGCCGCTGGGTGGAGGAGTCCAGAGATGACGGAGATTGGTCCAAACCAACGCCACGTAACGAACGCCTTGAACAGTGAGTCTGTGCTTTTATTTTCACAACAGGAAATATCAGGGAAACTGTTCAGGAAGGTGGTAAAATAATCGGATTTATACTAGAGGCACGCGTCATGATTGAACACATGCATTGTAAAATCAACATTGCACTATTTATGACTTATTGTTTGGGTTTTATTTGGTCATAGAATAACACATGATGACAAGCTGGATTCCTGAAACAGCTAGAAAATTGTCACTTCATCCTTGAAATTTATTGTACTCATAGGCAGATGTCAAATCTTACATCACAACAACAGTATGCCAGTATGAAAGCATCAGTCCATCTGGCTCTGAAAGTCAAGTCAGAATAACCAGAATCACAAAAATATTCATCAGTTAGCTGATGAACAACTGTTTTCTCATGTTCTCTCGTAAAAATGGCACAACACACAACGGTAAGAAAATTTTACCGGTAACGGTAAGAAAAGAATTGGTGGATTCACTGAAAGTGAAAATAATCAGTGTTAAAAAATCTGCTGAGTAATCCAACAGCAGTGAGTGACATTGTTTTAAGATAACGACAATAGTACCAAAGAAAAATGTATTCAAAGACATGTTTTTTAACAGCTGCATATATTGTAAATCTTTGTGAAATGTCATGTGTTTTCTTCTGCTCTGTTCCTCCGTAGTGAGTTGTTCTCTGGCAGTAACACTGGGATCAACTTTGAGAAATACGATGACATTCCTGTTGAAGCCACAGGACAGAACTGCCCTCACCACATCGAGAGTGTACACTGCTCTTGTTAACTCAACATCCAGCAATATTACATTATATATCAGCTCTCCACTGCTCTTTTTATAAATGTCTTTGACTGTGTGTGTGCTGTGTAGTTCCAAGATGTGGACATGGGTGAGATCGTCATGGGTAACATCGCTCTGAGTCGCTACACCAGACCGACCCCTGTCCAGAAATATGCCATTCCAATTGTCAAGGCTAAGCGAGACCTCATGGCCTGCGCACAGACAGGTAGGACACACACACACACACATCTCTTGAAAAGTATTATATTGGAGTTAGATTGTTGGGATAATGCTATGAAATGATGTCTCTACTGAAGGCACGTGGAGATGGATGAGGTTGATTTTGTGTCTTTAGGTTCTGGGAAGACTGCAGCGTTCCTGCTGCCAATTCTCAGCCAGATCTACACTGATGGACCAGGAGAAGCCCTTAACGCAGTTAAAGCATCTGGACAAGTAAGAGGAAATAATGGCGCTTTATTACAACACATGGATCAATTGCAAGGGGATTAAAAAAAACAACACAAATTAATGCTAACGTGTTGTGTTCAAAGTGTACGTCTTTTAGATTAGACAAGTAGTATTTATTTTCAGAGCAAAATAAAACAGGCTGCAGTGAGAGTCTCTCTCCGTGGGATGTTTAAAAATAGCGGGTTTGTGAAGTTTATAAAATGTTCAAGCATAGACTGATGCCACCATTATTAGAAATGTTTAAAGTTACAATGTGTAATTTACGTGGTTGTTTATTAGCAAATATCAACTATTGCTTTGATAAATATATATTTACTAAAGTGTAATGCAATTCACATACAAATGGAAGCTTTCTCATAGGCTTAAAATGATTTCTCTATATATACACAGGCAGGGCGCGGTCTGCTGGAGGCTGCCCTCTTGCATCGCCATATTTGATACAGTGGCAGAAAGGGATATACGCCCTTCGCATTTACCTAGAACTTGCCGTAACTAGAGAAGGTGAAGATCAATCCGGGGCGCTTCTGCGTGAACCTGCTTTGTACTTTTATGATTCTGTCGCACTTTAAATGGAGGAGCATACACACGTTTTGCCCCGTAAGAGGGAAACCACGCCACCAAATAAAAGAAAAAGATCAGAGAAGTGAGGACGGGACAAAACGCGAGTGAATATCGGCGTTGCTTATTTTATTTGAACTCCTGTGGAAGAACACTCCGGAAAAGCATATGTTATAATCGTACCAACCTATATTTGCTGCACTGTGCCGTGACTATCACATGAAACGTGTTATTTTAGCATTACTGTGCTAATGTTTGCTCGTGTTACCAAAACAATTAGAAATAAAACACTCCTAACATAACGTTATATCTCACAGATAACCTATATATCACTGGTAAGCTATAACATATTGTAGCATCCGCCAGGACGTGTGGAAAGGATGACGCAGTTATTCGGCAAACCACTGTTTATTACTGAACAGTACAGGTTACTGTTGGCCATAACTACGCCAAAACAACCAACAAACAAGAACTTAGCTGTAACTCCAACTGTGCACTGCTGCTCCCTCCTCCAGCTCGCTCATACACACATCAGCACGCGCACTCACACAGCCCTCATCCCTGTCACACTCGCATACAACATTGTAACATGGTTTAGATTCCTAAATAAATATTCACCTCGTCACTAGATAGGCCTACTTCTGAAAAACTCGAAAAACTCGTGGATGGATCTCTGCTGTCTGCGCAAGGCTTTTTATCCTACGAGGCCACGTCACTTACCGGACAGGAGGGGCGAGCGAGTGAGCGCGAGTGAGCCCTGCAATCTAGAATATGACCGCTGATGTCACTGTTACTCACCATTTTTACACACTGAGGCTTTAAGGAATCTTTTCACAACGGAATCCTTCCAACATATTTAAGGGGAGCACTAATCACTTTGCTGCCAAAACCGGGCAAACCGAATAACAAATGTGAAAACTTCAGGCCAATCAGTCTTTTAAATGTGGATTTAAAAATTTTGAGTAAAATAATAGCCAGGAGACTTGAGAAAATAATTCCGAATATTATTGACAAAGATCAAAATGGCTTTGTACAAAGTAGGCAAGGCTTCCATAATGTTAGGAGAATTCTAAATATATTATTTGAGGAAAAGGGAGCAGCAGATACAGCATTACTGTCATTAGATGCTGAAAAAGCGTTTGACAGAGTGGAATGGCTCTATTTATTTGAAATCCTCACACGTTTTGGCTTTGGAGAAAACTTTAATAAATGGATAAAACTACTTTATACAGAACCATATGCTGAAATCATGACCAATCGTAACATATCCAAAACCATTAAGATACAAAGAGGATGTAGACAGGGAGATCCCCTATCCCCTCTACTGTTCATTATGGCTATAGAACCACTGGCAATAGCAGTAAGAACACACCAAAACATGGCAACAGGCATATCAATTGGACAACAGGAACACCGTCTGGCTTTATTTGCGGATGATGTAATAATATTTCTTAAAAAGATGGAAAAATTCAATCCTGAATTATTAGAACTCATTAATGTATTTGGAAAAATCTCAGGATATAAATTAAACAAATCAAAATCATCAATAATGTTCTTAAATCAATTAGAAAGTAAAAGTCCTCCTAAAACAGCCACTCAATTTAAAATTGTGGATTGCTTTACATATCTAGGCATTCAAATTGTCCCACAACTTAAATATATTGTAGCCAGTAATTATGAACCATTACTGCAAGAAATCTCAAAGTTACTGGACAGGTGGACACACATACCAATGTCACTAATAGGAAAAATAAACGTCCTTAAAATGAATATACTGCCCAAGCTATTGTATTTGTTTCAGAATCTTCCACTTCCTCCTCCAAGTAACCTGTTCACTCAACTTAAAAGATTGTTTGTTAGATTTTTGTGGAATAACAGACGTCCCCGGACACGACTGTCACTATTGTACTTACCTTATGACAGAGGGGGACTCAAATGTCCCAGTCCACTCTGGTACTATTGGGCAGCACAATTAAGAACACTGTTGTTTTACTTCACAGAAGGAGATGCTCCTCTCTGGAAAGAAATGGAGGAACTCCAGCTAAGTCTGCCCCTCCCAATATACCTGTACTCAGCAAGAGCTAAAATCCTTAAAAAGAATACAAAAAACCCTATTGTGAAAAATATGATTGTAGTGTGGCATCAAGTTAAAAAATATCGTAGAGAAACGCCCTCTCCCTCTGTCTTCAGCCCAATATGGGGGAATTACTTCTTCCCTCCAGGTAAAATAGATGGGGGATTTAAATATTGGGCTACTAAGGGGCTGGGAAAAATAGGAGATCTTTACAACTCGCACAAGGTGCTGATGACATTTGGAGAAATAGTTTTTTTTTAAATACCTACAGTTGAGAAATTTCATTAGAACACACCAAAATCAAACATTATGCATCCCTGAAATGTCTACCATAGAAAAATTAATGAATATGAATTGTTTAGGGGAGGGGTTTAATTTCCAAAATTTATAAATGCCTGGTAGACGGAAGTACAGAAACATCTGCAGGACGGCTGGGGAAATGGAGAGAAGATCTACAGGAGGACATCCCAATAGAAAAGTGGGAGGAGGCACGCTCTAAAGCACAATGGAGAACCACTAACACCCGTCTGAAATTACTACAATACAACTGGTTGATGCGAACGTATATCACTCCAGAAAAACTTAACAGATATAATAGCGCTATACCTGATACTTGTATTAAATGTGAGAAGGAAAAAGGTACATTTTTCCATTGCGTTTGGCAATGTACGGAAATACAAAAATTCTGGCAAGAAATAAAACAATGTATTCAAAATATTTTACAGATTCAAATACCCTTGGTCCCACAGTTGTTTTATTAGGGTTATATCTAGATAATTTGAAGATTAAAAAATATCATCTAATATTTGTGTATTTGTAAACAGTGGCACTTTGCAGTACCTAATATTGCAGAAATATGTCGTCATCCCCCCCCCTATACAATGGACTAAAATGGACTAACTCACTAATCTGATCCCCAACCAAGAATTAGAATAATTTGAAAGGGCGGGAGGTGGGGGGGAATTGACATGTTTGTTCAAGACATGTAATTGTATTTCTTTGTTATGTTGTGATAACAAAAAAAAGAATGATGGTTAAAAAAAAAAAAAAAAATAGCGGGTTTGTGCATTTAGTCCTTCTCAGGCAAGAGCAATGTTTAGTGTTGCCGTAGCCCACAGGAACAATGCGCTGTTACACTGTTTTTTTACTCTGTGTGAGGATTACAATAGATGCTGTCTTAGTTGAAGGTAATATATATAAACGCTTGAAAAAAGTGTATGTCATATAAAAACTAAAGTAATGGTCAAAGTTGTCCCAGTGAAATTCAAGGTGTGCTGTTGTTTTGTCGTTGTCTTACAGGAGAATGGAAAGTATGGGCGTCGTAAGCAGTACCCCATCTCACTGGTGTTGGCTCCAACCAGAGAACTGGCTCTGCAGATATATGATGAAGCCAGGAAAGTGAGCAGACACACACAGGAGCATGAAATCCTTTAAGATGACAGACATTTACCCATGTATGTCCTTAACCTTTTTGTTTGTGTCTTTAGTTTTCCTACCGCTCCAGAGTGCGCCCGTGTGTGGTGTACGGAGGAGCAGACATTGGGCAGCAGATAAGAGATCTGGAGAGAGGCTGTCACCTGCTGGTGGCCACGCCTGGAAGACTGGTGGACATGATGGAGAGAGGCAAGATTGGACTGGACTACTGCAAGTAAGACATGGACAGGTGGAGGGAGTGATGGATGAAAGTAGGATACAACCTCTAACACTATTTGCAGGGTTGCCACTGCGCTCTGGCCAACTGGTGCATTATCCTAGATGCATTTATCTATATTAAGAAGAGAGGGTCACACTCAAAATCTATCATTCATAAGTTTCCATGATTATTTGTCTGGCAATTCACAGAATGTTTTTGGCCATAGAATCTTCATCAGTGAGGCCAAAGGCTTCAACCTTTTCATCTTCCTTTGTCCTCTTAATTTCAGCTACCTGGTCCTGGATGAGGCAGATCGTATGCTGGACATGGGATTTGAACCCCAGATCAGACGCATCGTTGAACAGGACACCATGCCGCACAAAGGCATCCGACAAACCATGATGTTCAGCGCAACCTTTCCCAAAGAGATCCAGGTACGTTTGTGTTGCATTTGCAGTGGCACCAGGAATACAGGAATATTTTTGCTGTATTCTCGTTAGCATGTGGTTGCGACCACCATGACCCACCTCTTCATGAGCATGTTGAAGAACTGGATGAGAAATGTGTGAAAAAGAAAGAGATATGTTTGATCTCCAATGGCTCAGGTGTAAATAACACCATAGCGCTGCACAACACTACTTCCACAAGGGTCCACAACAGTCAGCTCCAAACATACATGCAGGGGGTGTTATCAGGAGAGACTATCCAGGGGCAAATCTGCCATCTGCTGTTGTTACACTGCATTTTCCGCTTAGAGATGCTTTGGATAAGCCTTTGTTTCACACTGTTGTAGCAGTAAAATAAAGTTTTGTTTTCCACAGGGCTTATTTTCTGCAATAATCCAAAAAGCCAGTGGAATAATCCCATAGGCTTTTTTTTTTCCGAGGCAACCAGGCAGATGTTAACTTTCCACCACACCTGAATTGACAACAGTCCAACCATGAGCACTTAGCCCATGCTAAAACTCTATTTATAAGCACATTTACTGCTCCTTTTCCAGATCCTGGCCAGGGATTTCCTAGAGGAGTACATCTTCCTGGCTGTGGGCAGAGTGGGTTCCACCTCAGAGAACATCACTCAGAAAGTTGTGTGGGTGGAGGAGAGCGACAAGAGGTCTTTCCTCCTGGACCTGCTCAGTGCTACAGGTAAGACAGTCACATGACAATAACAGCGCATTACTTTCAGATGTGTGTTAACACTGCAGGTCCATGACACATCAAACAACTTAAGTCTGAATTGATTTTTCTACATTGGATAGCATTAGCAGGAGCAAAAGCTTTCAGCAGGTTTCATCCAATGATCAACTATTTTCTTAGCTCCAGGAAGGCAACAGTGAGGATGTTCCATAAAAAGAAATGTCATTCCCACTTTGTAATTTTCAAAGAATATTTTATTTTTCTTCATTTCCAGTAGAAACCAATTTAAAGAGCCACCTTTGTGGTTGGACAAATAAACCATTTTCCTGATTTAGTATAACAAATTTAGTGAACTGAGGCAAACAGGAACATCAAACATGTACAGTTGGTTTTCTGCTGCTGATTGAGTGCAGTTGACATGTCGATGGTTTGGTGTGGTTTTATCCCAAGTCATTCCCAGCGAGGTTCAGGACAATACAGGAGACAACATAGAGAAACCTGGTAAGATCCTCAGTGGGGAAACTTATATCTGTCATTTCATATTTAAAATAATTTTGCTTGCCCTTTGATGTTCCTCTCTGTGGATGGAGAGTCCTTCAGTTATTTTTGGTTCTGTGTACCATTTCATGGGTCCGGTTTGCTGACCTGAAAACAAACATGCCTGCTGTATTTTTTTGTGGTATTTTTATGTAAATTATGTTGCTGTGGTGTCTCTGTGTCAGACCCAAACAGCCTTGATGGAGAGAGTCTGGTTATGTTGTTGTCTCAGCAGCTAACCAGTGGATACAAATGTGGGCCAGTGGCCTCGCTTCATTTTCAGGTAGTGATGTACACGGCGCATTGAGGAAGAACTGTGACCACACTCTTTCCATCAGTGGCTCGAGTCACAGTTCAGCACAGTGCTGCTCATACTGTTAAGCTATTGTTTGGTATTATTATTTTGTTTTTTTTCCCACACTGCAATCCCTGCTTCCTGTTGCACTGTTCTGTTCATAGAGAAAATGTACTGTAATGTGAACATTTTATCTAAATTAAGGTGCATGTTTTTAGGATTTATGTGTCACACCTGGAACTGAAAAGCCTTACCAGCAGACCTGTAACCTGCTCGTAAGGCTGAAAGAGGAACTGATATGATTTGTTTATAAACGGAAGGATTTGCATGTCGGGATGTCAGTATGATGCAACATATATTGTGCCTACAGCCCTTTTTTAAATGGCAAATGAATGAATAAGATACAGTGAGATGGTGAATTTCCACTCAAGTGTTTGAAGAACTTTTGTCTCCCCCCTCTGACCATGAGAGTAATTACACAAACACATGATTATAACATAATGCTTGCAGGTGAGCTCACTGCATCTCCCCCGCCCCCAGGAGTGCTCCCTTCAAGTCTTCTTGTGCAAATTATTTAAACTTAGTCCTTCCTCTGAATGCCAACTTTCTTTGTATGTATTTTAGGCATTCTGTTTTCGGGTCTGTGTGTCCCATTGTGGTGAGCACAATATCTCCAGAATTTAGTACAAACGTCCATTTGGACTCAAAGATGAACTGATTGCATTTTGTTAGTCAAAAGTCAAGGTCATTGTGACTTTGAGTCCATCTCATTATCGTGAATGTGATATCTCAAGAAGGTCTTGAGGGAATTTCCTGGAATTTTGCACAACCATTGACCTTGTATTGGACTCATTCTCTTGAATGGAATCTCTCAAAAATACCTTAAGGGAATTTCTTTAAATTTCGCACAAAGGTTCACTTGGACTCAGCAATTAACTCATTGGATTTAAGTGCTTAAAGTCAAGTTCATGGGCGCCCAGTAGCTCAGTGGGTAGGGCAGGCGTCCCATATACAAAGGCAGTGTCCTTGTGGCAGCAGCTGTGGGTTCGATTCCACCCTTTGCTGCATGTCATCCCCATTTCTCTCTCTCTCGCCCTTTCATGCTTAATTTGTCCTGTCAAATAAAGGCAAAAAGCCATAAGCATAATCTTCAAAAAAAGATGTAAAAGTCAAGGTCACTGTGACATTGAGTCTTTCTTATTCTTGAATGCAATATCTCAAGAACACCTTGAGGGATGTTCCTTAAATTTGGCACAAATGTCCACTTCGACACAGCTGAGACATTCACTTGGACTCAGCAATAAACTGATCAGATTTTAGTTGTGAAAGGTCACTGTGATCTTGGGTCTGTCTCATCCTGAATGCAATATTCTTGAGAACACCTCAAGGGAATTTCCTCAAATTTGGCACAAATGTCCACCTCAAAACAGCGATGAACTGATTAGATTTTAGTGGCCACAATTTAGTGTTTGTGAGGTCATAGTCACTGTAACCTCACGAAACATGTTTCTGGCCACTATTCAAGAATTCAGAAGCTAATTAGGACAAAATTTCACTCAAATAGGATAAAATGATGAAGCAGTGCCATTTTATATCCAAAAGGTCAAAGGTCAGCTTCACTGTGACATCATACTGTTCTGCAAAAACACTTTTCTGACCTTTACTCAATGTCATAACTCGGGAACGGAAGAGGAGACATTTGGTCAGATACTGAATTGGTGACACAAATCTTGGGTGTCCACCTTGAAACTGTGCTGATTGTAAAGATCTTCTGTGCTGTCGGGGGGGGGGAGATGTGTGTGAAGCATCCATGTTTTCACAGTTACAGTCACAGAGGCATATAGTCATGAGACAGTAATTCTAGTTTGCCATGTCATAAGCAATCTCTAAAAATGATGAGGCCATTTGATGTGTTCATCTCCTAGGTCAGGGCAGGGTAACATGTCAACAAAAGACCAGTGGGAAGTTTTATATGCATTCAATTTTGTATAGGTACTAATCTCTATGAAAATATTCCTCATGATTTTCGTGACCACCTCACCTTTCTACTCTGCACTTTTCAAAATCTGTGGTGTGAAAACAGAGAAACATGCAGCTACTTTATTCTCAGCAAGTTAAAATCAGCTCTCTGTGTTATACATTTAGCGACCACCTTGAATGATTAACCTCGGGTGTCTTCTTTCTCGGCCCATCAGGTAAGGACTCGTTGACTCTGGTTTTTGTGGAGACCAAGAAGGGCGCAGACGCCTTGGAGGACTTCCTGTATCGGGAGGGCTACGCCTGCACCAGTATCCATGGCGACCGCTCCCAGAGAGACCGAGAGGAGGCCCTGAGCCAGTTCAGATCAGGAAAATGCCCCATTCTGGTGGCCACAGCGGTCAGTAGAAATGAACAGTTGCTTGTAAAAATGGTTAAACCTGCCTTAATACATACTTTATACTTCACACTCATATGGCAGGAAATAGTAGAAAGATACCGGTCTTGCTTTTAGAGACTCATATCAGTTACAAGTGAATAGTATCACTGCATGTGAACTTGTGTGAGTGACCTTTTTTCCCTCTTTTGTATGAACTTAGGTGGCAGCTCGCGGTCTGGACATCTCCAATGTGAAACATGTTATTAACTTTGACTTGCCCAGCGACATAGAGGAGTATGTCCATCGTATTGGACGTACAGGAAGAGTCGGAAACCTGGGTAAGACCAGAGCTAATGTCAGCCAGTGGTATGAAGCCCAGTCATGTGTGGTACATAATCTAAATTAGGACAGACTTGAAGCTTTTTGAGTCACACACCACAAAAAGCTGTGATTGAATGCTACTGTTACTTTTTAACCTGTAGGATTGGCCACATCATTCTTCAATGATAAAAATGGAAATATCACAAAAGACCTGCTGGACATTCTGGTGGAGGCCAAACAGGAAGTGCCCTCATGGCTTGAGAGCCTGGCCTATGAACACCAGCATAAGAGCAGCAACAGAGGACGCTCTAAGAGGTATTCATACACACCGTCTCCTCTTAATAGGTAAATGTGTTTTCTATGAATGTTAATGCCATTTATGGGTCTCAACCCATCAGTGTTTTGTACAAATGCAGTGACGTTCACTTTGTGTCTGATGTAAACCAGGTTCTCTGGTGGTTTTGGAGCACGTGATTATCGACAGACGGCTGCTGGAGGCAACGCTGGAGGGTTTGGAGGACGTGGAGGTCGCAACCAGGCAGGACATGGAGGAAACCGTGGGTTTGGAGGAGGTGAGCATCTGGTCTTTGGGTATGACTATTGCAGCAAAGTCGAAGTAACTTGCAACCCTAGGTTCATTGGGAACATATTTACTTTGTTAAAGAAGTATTTCACTGCTGGAAAGAAAAAAGTTTTTATAAAACTGGGCTGTCCTTTAAGTAAATAGACAAAAATACTTTTGAAATTGGTGCTGTATGACCAAAGAAAACAGGGGAAGGGGGGTGTGGTATTTGCTTTTGCTAAAGACTGTGCAAAAAAGCACTGTGCCACAGCGGACCAATAAACAGTCCCTCCAGGATTTCACGGGCTGTTTTTTGGATTGTTGCGGCCTGATGTCACGGCAGCTTTTTTTTTTTTTCCAAAAATTGCAATCAGTGTTGTGATATGTGTCGTTTTGTTGCAATGAAATTGCAGCCAATTGACACCGCGTTAAAGGACCGTCCTTGTGAAATCCTCTCCCTCTGCTCCTCTGCTTGGTGAGCATGAGCTAACATAGCACAATGCGATCTCATCCCTACTCAACATATTTTACTGCTTGAGCAGAAGCCTCACAACAGCGGTTAACATCCAACACCAAGCCGTTATCTCACACCAGAACGGCTGAACTCTGCTATTAAACCGTTGATTAACTGTTTGGTAACATTAGCTTTGTGATGCTAACAGTTAGCCCTGTCACTGTGTGTGTATTTGTATGTGTGCGTGCATGTGTGTGACTCTGTTCCAGGCACAGAGCTCCGGTCCTGCAGCAGTAGTCTCATGATAATCAGAGAGAGACGGGCTGAGCGAATCAATACGGTGCACGCAGCTTTACATTGAAATGAGATTTTACCTGTTTTAAGTGGTGGGTAGCGGAAAGCGTGCCCGTCTGTTTTTACACAGGAAACAATATGGCGGCTGGCTGGTAACAAATGATCGGTAAGCTAAAATATGGTTCTGAAAAAATTTGAGGCGAACCAGGCGACACAGTAACAGAATTTTTGTAGTTAAGTCCCAGGTTTTTTTTTAGACTCCATTTTTACAAAACAGGAAACAGTATTGCATACACCTCCTGTTTCCAAATTCTTTGATTTCAGCCAAACAGTACACTTAAATATGTTTGAATTAAGACATTTTAAGTGAGAAATAGGCAATACAGAGACATAATCTAATTTTTTTTTCCATTAGCACTGTCTAGTTGAGTCGAGTTTGAGAGAGACAGAGAAAGGGGGATGTTTCTCTCTTGATCTGCTTCTGTGCTCTTTGTGTCCGTGGTGGGGAGCATACGGACATTCAAAAGTACAAACTTAAGTTTGAGCAACAGCCCTAAAGCCAGCAGGAATTTGTCTAATGACACAAACTGAGTCATTCAGCAGATTTGAGCAGGGAGATCTTGGTGCTGGTAAGGTGAAGGAAAGTTCAGTTCATTCACACATACTACCCACACTGTTATGATACAAAGCTGGTTAAAAATTGTCAGAGTGTCCCTCTAACTTTTCTCCTCTGTTTCCTCCCTCTCAGGTGGTTTTGGCAACTTCTACACCAGTGACGGCTACGGAGGGAACTACTCACACTCTCAAGTTGACTGGTGGGGCAACTAGGTTCCTCCTCCCCTCCTTTACTCATCCCTCTTTCTTCCTCTCACTCATCCTCCTTCCTTTCTCCACACTGTTGTCTACACTCCATCTGTCTCCTCCCCTTCATTAACCCCGAGAACCCATGTGCATGTTATTAAACTATTTATACTCATTTATATAGCCCTCCTTCCATCCCTGTGCACTCAGATCTTTTAATTATTTGACTTTTCTCGTCCTTTCCATCTCCATCCTCGTCTTTACGGTCGACCATCTGTTTTTCTTTTGATTTCTTAATTCCTGGTAAACCTCACCTCGTACAGTAGGCCACATTATAAAGGGATTCTTCAATTTTAGGTTGTTATTTTTTAACACATCCTTAAGTTCCAGAGGATGTTTTGAAATATTTTCCCTTTGTGGCAAGTGCTTGAAGAAAAATAACCAATTGAATTTAAGTTTTACGTCTTCCTTTAACCCCTTAAGTTTAGATGGACATGTAAGATTTACAGTGACTTAGTCCTGCGAGACAACCGTAGAAGACCAGGGGGAAATCTTGTTGTTTTTTTTTTTTTGTTTTGTTTTGTTTTGTTTTGTATTTTTCACTTTAGATTTCAGTTTTGGCTTCATCGTGTTTTTGTCTGCATTCACCCAAAGCCAGCCAGGCGTCTTGTGTACCTTCACATGTCATCTTTGTATGTAACGCATGGCCATGTTGTAAATCACCGGCCAAAAACTTTTCTAAAATATAGCGCAGAGATAGGCAAGATGTCAATTCTGAGCAAAATATGTCTGCATATGAATTCACAAAATGGGAACTGGCTGAAGTTTTCTTCATTTACATGATAGATACTAAAAAAAAAGGGGCCACAGAAACAGAAAAATGTTTTTTTTATTATTTTTTTCACCTTTTTAAAACATATTGAAGTCTTGATTTACAAAGATCTGAGAAAGACGTCTTACAGAGACAGCAGGGACAAGGGAGCTGGACAAACCGAAACACCCAGCCTGTGGGACGCCAGCAGACGTTGTCACCCATTAGCAATGATGCTAGCAAACAGTCTTTGGACTGCGAACAGCATTTTCTTTGTTTGAAACAAAACATAATGAAGGATCATTTGTTTCTGTACTGTGCCTTTAAGAATTTGAACTTTGTCTCTTATTTCCGTTGTTTTAATTGCCATAATACGTAAGTGGCTACAAGTATTGGCCAACTGTGACAAAAAAAAGTGTATTTAATGTCATGTATGGGTTTAAACATGTTTTTCTTTATTTCTATTTGGAAGGAAACAAACTAGGCTTGAACTAAATCAAACCTTGGCAAAAAAAATAAAATAAACAAAAACTGTGATGAGGAAACTCAAAGAAATTCCTTATCTGTTTATTGGAGTTCAAATTCATCAGGTCTCTGATGAGCCGATTCCCAAAAGCATATTACCACTGTAACCATATTTAAAGATTCTTCTGATATACCCTCATCCAGAGTGACTAAAATAAGTCAAAACAAGACATTACATTTGTTTTATGCAAAATAAGAAGTTAATTACAAAACTACTAGCCAGTGAGCGCTCATAACAACAATGGTTTTATGCTTTTGGGAACCGAGTCCTACTAATTGACCTGTATGTCACATCTATAGCTCAGGTCTGAGCATGAGTTTGAGTTTCCCAAAGGCATCTTGTCACTAATTGTTGGGTCACATTACATCTCAGAACAACTGAGAGAGAATTAAGCCTACCGGCGTAGCAGCAGTCATGTTACTTCTTCTACCATTCAGACATGTGGTTGTAAATAAAAATATGTTCCAGGTTTATTTCTGGGTTTTTTTTTTTCGATCCAGTGCGGCGTATGAGCTTAAACCGGTTTGATTTTATGCAAACTGGCTGAACTGACATTTGTCATTTTGAAGCTAACGAAAGAGGTGTTCTAACTGGCCTACGCTTGTTCGCTGTTAGAACATGATGTCATTATGTCCTACTCGGGAGCGGCTGCTAAGTCAACTGCAACACCTAATAGTAAAATTCAGAATACTGGTCCGGTGCCTTAATGTCAAACCGGTTTTAAAAATCTTACACTGCCCCAAACCTAATAGCAGTAGCGCTCCTGATAACATTACCGAAATTCAGTATATTCATAGTATGATAAGTATCTTTGCAGCGAAATAGGAAAGAATATTGTGACCGCATCCAGCAGTGATGTGAGCAATGCTGCAGCATATTTGAGTGTAGAAATTAAAACCAGACTGCTGCTGCAGCAGCTACCAAATGTAACCAGCTACTCTCGTGCTGACTCTTAGTGACACCGTGCTCTTAGGAAACAGGCTCCGCCTCCACCACAAACACTGAAACCCTTGTTTGCCAAAAGCTTCTTTCAAGGGGATACACAACTAAAAGGCTTAAAGAGTTCAAAATTTTCTCGCTCACTCTATCCTGGAGAGTTACATGAAAAGTCTTCTCTAAAATAAGTCATTCCAGTTTATTCGTTATGTCTTTGAGATCTGTCGAGGTCAGGGTTCAAAGTAAAGACTTGGATAATTTAGCCTAACCCACTTCACAGCAGAGAGAGCCGGGGCTTTCCAGAGGATTTAATGCCACGCTGCCATAGCACATTTTAGCCATGTCCTGTCTTACTGTTAGGTGAAATGTGATCACGCGTCCTTTCCAAAGCACTGGCAGGGAAAGGGCATTACTTACTTGGGACTTGTGTTAGTTGTTTGAGAATTTGCCCAAAATGTGACTGCACCTTTTGAGTAGTTCACTTGTGACGCTGTCTTTACGCCAAATATAACTAGGCTTCTGCTTGAGATTTGTATACACTCCTATTCCGACTATTTATTCAACAGTGCACTTTGGCTAGCACTAGGGCTGGGTACTGGTACGCGATACCTCCAAGGTATTGACCAAAATAATGTAGTAACAAGAAGTAACAGATCTTCTCCAGTCAAACCATTATTGGTCCTTTTTGTACCAAGATCTGGTTTTGCTCACAGCCAATCACTGCAAGTGTTTGTCGATTTATTGCAACGTGCGATTGGTCCAATCGGCCCACATTGATACTGGTATTGTCATTTTTTAACAATACTCAGCCCTAGCTAGCACCATAGCTTATGAATGTTAAAAGGACACCGAGCTCGGCATAGCACAGTAAGACAGAGGACCAATAAAGTGTGCTTGTAGAAAAGTGGCGCAACAGAACTCAAGATCTTTGGCTACAACATGCAAGAAGATCAATTTATTTATTTTTTTGTGATCCCTGGTCAGCCCCACTAGCTGCTGCTGTGGAATCAGACGTCCATGTTTCATCCCTGATTGAACCTCCAAAAGGAACTCCACTGTACATTTGGACACTTCAGTGGTAGAAGTCCGATCCCCCCGCTGTGTTAAATAGCAGCAGAATAAGCCCCAAAATGCTCTGTTGCTACCTGGCGGGAGAAATTGTTAATCTTCATCAGGGTCTTAATTTGTTTTGTTTATATGAACAACTTTAGTGAAGTGAAAATATAGATTTAAATGTAAATAGTTAAACTCTTCTTAAGACAAAAAGAGGAGAATCTCCACTGAAAAAGAATGTGAATTACAAGTGAAACAACACTTGTGTAGAAATCACGTCCGATCACTCGATGTTGGACCAGGCAGTGTCTGGTATGCTTAGCTCAGTGGGCAATTTGAATACGGTCATCAGATTTTTTCTTTATTTATGGAAAAGGCGTAAGGGGAATTTAATTACTAATCAATCAATTGAGGAACCCATCAGTTACTAGTTTGACGACGATAACTACCTGGGTGCAACATTTCAACAGAAGAATTATGGCTGATGGGTTCTAAGATTACATTTCGGGCAATGCGTCCCGCCTTTTTTTGCGCTCCACTGTTTACCTGCATGCAGCCAAGCCTGCTCAGGCGTGATAAGGCGATACTACTTTGACTACAAACGGAAACCAATTAATGCTCACCAGACAGAATACCTCAAATTGCCCACTGGTTTTGGCAAATGACAAGGCTGGACCAAGACAATAAAACATATGCAAGTGTTGTTGTTTTTTGGTCAAGGAGTTAATGAACGCCAAGCAAATAGATACAATTCTACAGCAGGCTTTAGTTTTGTTAGAACTCTGATTTTTCCCGTCATCTATGATTTTGAGACTTTTTAACTTTCAAGAGGTCGTGTTCGGGCCAGTCTGTTTCCTTAAAGAACAGTTTGTTGGGAGGTTTAGGATGGAGTTGGCTTGAACGTGATTTTTTGGAGAATTCAGGTTGAGTAATGCTAAAGGACTCAGGATTCAAGCAGACAGCAAGTCACATAAAAACTCGATTTTTCAGAAGTTTCCTGGTGCTAAGGCACCGGCTTTTGTGTCTGAATTCATGGCGGGAGAAATGAGTTCAGTGATTTCTCAGTAACTTGGTTCACCTTCTTATGGTTGAGGGGCCAGTTTATGTTCAAGGACAGTTGTCATCGGATGCAATGTTAGGGACTAAAATGAAACTCCACCATGTAACCACTCAAAAAGCTACCGAACACAGAAGGTTAGTTTGCATTATCTTTTGGCCACTTGCGATTCAATTGTCAGATTAACTGTCTTTGTTGCATACAGCATTATAATGTCGCTATTGTTCAACTTCAAGTCAAATTTGGACTAAACTACCATGAGCAGCAGTTAAAACAGCGATTGATTGTTGACCAGAACTGTGTTTGAGGTGTCCCAGAAGATGATTTTAGCAACCAATCAGAGAATTTGTCTGTGGCCATGATATAAACACCGAACTTTAATTTTTCCTGCAGCATCTCAGAGAGAACTGTTGCTGTGCAGTGTGAAGGTATAACCAGCAGGAAGATAAAAATCAGTAACAGGACAATAAGTGAAAGATAACATTGCAAATGACAATCAGTTATGAAGGATTTACTTAGTTTAAAACTCACTTTACACATCAGTAAAACTCTTTCAGTTGCACTTTTTTGATAGTCTTTGGGGACACCTTTACATGTAGGAGTTTTCTTAACCAGCTGTCTTGTTGGCAGTTGTTTCATAACTGTCAAATTTTCCAGCGTGTGTCCCCCATCATGGAGGAGACAGATCTGCACAGGCAGACGAATGCCAAACTAAAGCTCATTACCTTACAGTTGAATTTGCACTCTTGGATTTTGTTACAAAAATCAGAGAGTCCACCTTTTAATATTGACTGAACAACAGTTTTAATGCCTGACTGAATTATCAACTGACACATTCCCTGTGTGAGAGGAGACATTGTCAGCGTTTGTTACTTGAATTCATGGCTGTTGCCAACCACAAACTTAGTATGCAGCTAGTGCAGTTGCTTGTGTTTTAGTAATAATGCTAATTATGCTAAAATCAAAGGCCTACAGTGGGAGGCAAAGCCACTTGGTTGAATCTGGTTGAGTGCGTAGACATTGCTATGCCTTCTACCAGCCACTAGGGGGCAGATAGAATAACCGTGAATAAATGAAAGGACTGAGCATTTCGCCTGCAGTGATAAATATTAGAATTGCTGATATAATACAAGATAAATGCTGGATGTTGACTGCTGATGGTACAGATAGGAAGTGTGCAGCAGAGAGTCATGGAAGGTTAAACTTCAGTTTACCTCACATTTTCGTCTTGTTGGTAGAGCAATCTTGTCAAGTAGTGTCGTTCAGAGTTCGCACATGTATATGCAATGTATTTAGGTCTTTTACTAAGGCAGACAGATCACATCTGTCAGCTGTAATTACCATTGAACTGTGTTGAAGCAACACGTAACTACCACTGTGCCCCAAACTCCCTTCCCACTTCGTCAAAATGAACCCAACTTCTGCAGAAAGTGCAATAGAGATCAATTACTTGTGGCTTTCACTTTGCTGTCAACGAGTTTTTCTGCACGAGATGTTTTCAGTCTGTGCTCCATTTGGACTAGAGCACAAGCTGGCACAAGTGAGTTCAGCCCAAAGTCTGACATGTGCACGGTGCCTTGAAGTGACTGAATCTCTGATTTACTTCAGACTGAAACTTTTTGGTTAGGGCTGGGTATTTTTCAACACAGATGAAAAAACCAAACCATTAGGGACTGTTCTTAATTTATCAGAGCAGAGGGGTGCCTGGGATGTGACTTTGTTTTTGTTTTTTCTTTATTTTTTTGACCCCTGAATCTACAAATATTTTTCCTTTAACCGGACGGAAAATGCACGAACCACTCTCCACCATGAATTATTATTATTGTTATTAGAGACTGAAAGTTAAAAGTTGAAGACGAAATCCAGAAGTTGAAAAAAGCCGTGGATTTTCACTCTTGTCGTGCATATCAGTCAGTTCGTGCACTCTTTTTTTTGCCAAATATAAAAAAGACATGTTTTCTTTAATAATCTGCAGTAAAATAAATACAAAATACAACCACTTAAATTTGTATGCCCCTCCCCTTAGCCGAAATAAAGAAACATAAGTATGTCCCCAGTGTTTAAAAAATTATATGACATACCTCTCCTTTTGCACCACCCCCCTTCTCTCATAATAACGAACAGTCCCTTACATAAACGATTTCTTTTATAGTAGAAATATAGGATACAGTAGGGGGCATGCGTGTGACATCACTGTACACTGTCACACACTTTGGGTCATGGTCAAATACCTGCAAAACTGATACTGTTGCCATTAGCATCACCTGTACTTTGTAGTTAGTGCTAATTAGCAAATGCTAGCATGCTAAACTAAGATGGTCCACATTACCTGCAAAATATTAGCATACTAGCATTGTCGTCGCGAGCAGGTTAGCATGTGGATATTAGCATTTAGCTGTGCCTACGTACAGCCTCACAGAGCAGCTTGCATGGCTGTAGAGTCTCTTGCTGTTCGTCTTGTTCAAGTTAGTATTTTGCCATTTTTGGTCTGTTTTGCCACTCAGTAGTGTCGAAGGTAGCATCATGTTAATAAATCCACACCCTCTACAGTAAATGTAACATTTGTTTGGATCTTCAGCTTCACAAATCAGACAGGTTAATTTCCTCTGGAAGAAAAGTTCTTATTTAGAAATGCAGCACTTTAGTTTTTGAAATGTTTTAAAAACCTTTTTGATGCCTTAAATCCCAGGGTGATACCCAGCCCTAATGGAGCAGATAGTTGGTTACACTGTATACAGCATTACCATGGCAACAGACTCACTGACACTGACAGTGTCACCATGGCAAATGATTCGGCGTCACTACGGTAACTAACTTTCCAGCCGGAGTGCTTCTATTGTCAGTGAACAATTAATGGTGCTATGCTCCCATTGCTGCGGCCTGCAGGCCCCTCTGTTGTAGAAAACCCATTGAGTTTTACAGAAAATACTTCAGTTACTTTGTTTAATGTTCAACTAAAGTCTTCTGTAGTACATGTCTTTCAAAACCTCCGAGAGGTACGAAGGAGCAAGTGAGAGTGTTTGAAGTGTAGCACAGCCAGGTGTCAAAGAGAGAGGTTTCTCCACAGTTTAGTGCGTGGTGTGTGTGTGTGCACGTGTGTGTATGTGTCGTATGGAAAGGTTCTTCCAGATATGAAGCCGTTTTATTTTTTGGGACCAGGTGGAGTTGTAGTTAACAGCAACCGTAGGAATCAGCTGTTTGCACACAGAGTTCTCGAGTCTACTTTCGCTGCTAGTTTGTGTAATTTATCAAGCATTTTTGAGAAATATTTATTTTTATAAGCCTAATACAAAAGTTGATATTTTACAAAGTGACTTGACCAAAAGACAGTAAACAAAAACACTGGCACTTGAATGTTGAATGTCATTGGTATGAGTGAAAATTTCTATTTTTCTGGGGTAGTGTGAGCTTTTTAATGTTAAAGATGCAGCGTGTAGGGGTTTCTCTTTCAATATGTCACTGTAACAACCTGTGATGATGTAAGTAACAGATTTTAAAAATCCAGAATCTCACATTGGTACCAAAACTGATTCAATCATCAGTTAATCAGGAATCCAAAATCACCAATTCACTGTACAAGGGTGCCATGCCATTGTTCTGACGTCCCGTTGGTCCGAAAAATATCCTGTTGGACCGAAAGTCTATTTTACTCACAGTCCGTCATCCCAAAAACAAAAGCCTGTTGTTCCAAAGTCCAGTTTCTCTGAAAATAAGATAAAGTACAATTCAAACATTTTTTCTGGGGAATGGGTTGTCACACTGCAGGGAGGATATATTTTTGGAGAAACTGTACTTCGAAGCAATGTACGTTGGCTTTTTGGGATAACAGACTGTCGGAGAATGGGTTTTTTGTCCAGTAGGACATTTTCCTGACTAACTAAGCTGCAGAACTTTGGGCCGTCTGAACGATGGGCAGCCCCCTGTGTAAGGTCAAGACAAAACAACCCATGCTATGTGCACATCTTTTCGTGTTAAACCAGACTGTTTTTGCCAACCCAGTCCCAAACCCCAGAACAGTGCATTGTCTGGACCTGCACTATACATTTTCCTTAAGTTTAAACTGGCTTTTGTCCAAACAAAATTGGACCCTAAATACTTACAAAGTAGCAGCACTCCTCACACAAGGCCACAGAGTGAAGACAGTTTTATTACAGCTGATGCGACTGTGACATATTAAGAGAAACATCCGACATGGGTTACCTTTAAAGTCACATTGGACTCAGTATCAGATCCACAAACCTGTTTGTGCGACAGGTTCCATTGCCAATAATGATAATCAAACACAAACAGCCATTTTTAATTGGCAGACAAAATTTGAGACAATACCACCATATATGCCAAGGTTTGGATTAAAAAAAAAAAATTAACAAAACGTCAAGATCAAAGACCATTTTGTAAAAAACAAAAAAAAACAAAAGAAACATGCAGTACAAAAAACAAGTGTCCAGATTCTCTCCAAGTCAGATGTTGTTTTGTTTTGTTTTTTTAATTCATTTGAGTCTTTACACTTTTTCCTTTCCGTTAATACCCTTGTTGTGAATGTCTGGCAAGTGGTGATCTTTAAAGTCTTCATAACACAGAATTAACTGTGGTTCTATTGCTATGTTGTTGTGATTTGCATATTTTCAGGCATTAGGGTGTTAATGCTCATACGGGGGGAGCGTCTGGCCAATCAGAAATGAGGTAAAGATGACCTGACAATGCCCATACAGGTTCCTTTTATCCATATGAGTCTACATCTGTCTCTTGCATAAGACATTCTGCAGTTACACTGGGACAGAATGTAATGTGGCCCCAGTAAAGCCACGATTAATGACCGATCAAAGTTCATGCCTCTTCTCTAGTTGTGAACAAAAGGCATTCTCATTGAGGAATAATTATTGACTGAGCTGAAAGAGGAAAAAGTCCAGTGCTGTCCCCATTACTGACTGGCCAGACTCCTCAGTGTGGACACGTAGCACCTCCAGCCTGGTAGTTAGTATTTGCTTTATGTATTAGTTTAGCAGTTGTGCACGAAGAGGAGCACTGCACGAAGAAAAACAACTGTCTATTCTGATTTTACCACAAATAAAGGTTTGGATTTGCAAATGTAAAACTGTTTCGATCCATTTCTTCTTCCTCTTCTGTGTCTTTAAACGTGTACAAAATTAGATGTTTGAGAAAAGCAGGTCAAACACTTTGAAGCTATTAAATAATCAAGTTTATTTGCAGTACATTCTACAGAATGACATGATAAAGATCTTTTAACAATGTGTATAAAACAAATGACTAAAATGAACTGACAGTCTTGTTGAATGTTAGCAGGAGCTGGTGTGTTTACATGTTCTGAAGAGTTACAGCCGTCTGTCTCATTTCTCTGAGTAATCTCATTAAGTGCATGACAATGTAATACACGTCTTCCCTGTTTTGAGCTGACCATCACTACAATATGTGGTCATTTGATTTTTGAACTATGAGGGCAACGCGGAAAAGGAAATAAGACAACTGCTATGCTCATTAACACCAGCTGAATTAGTAATTAATATCAAAATAAAGTGCATTCATTTCCAGGTGAAACTTTGGTTGACGGGAGGCTCTGCCTTCCTGTTGTCTGGCACTTCAGGGCCTGTTGGTCCAGCGATCACTTACAGACAGTTGAGAATAAAAAATGCTGTACAGCGAGACTGATGTTCGCTCATGTGTTCAGTAGCTGTTAGTTAAGACGTAAGTCAGGCCACTTATTTGTTGGTGGCTTGTTCAAGCTTGCTTATGATTTGTTCTTGGTCCTTGCTCGGGTCTGACCAAAAGTCTGAGTTGTCTTGGTACCATTTGACTGAAAGACACAGATGTAGAACACAGGGATTAAAAGCACAGACTACAAAGAAGGAACCACCAGCACCAAATTATTGTTTAATTTAATATAGGTAAATACTGTGTGGTACCGTGAACTAGATAGCTAACACTTGCGTGCTATTGAAACATACGGCCAATTAGCTTTATTATTATTGAAAGTATATGGACATTCTTGTGAACAATGGATAATTTTGTAACATTTTCAAATGAGATTCTGACATACCGTTCACCTCAGAAACCACACACGAAAGTACAGAAGGTGAGGCTAACACACCTAGCCACGCTACAACTGCTACTGACTTAGAAGTTACCGTCCCTTTGCGCTTAGGTGTCCTTAGCCTGTAAAACCCTCAACACTCCTGATTTAGATGGACAATTTGGGCTACAACATGCACCTTTTAAAGATGAGGCTTAAATGTACTGGCTTATCTCCTCGCTTTAAAGCTGGGGTTAGCAGTTTTCTCTGTCCTAAGCCCCTCCCACAAGACAAGCATAGGCATATGCACGTGCTTTATGCAGTAGCCTGTATCAGCCCTGGTCATTCATTTTAACCACTGTAATTGTGATCCTGAAGCTGTTACATATGCCGTTTTCTCTGCAAACTTTTGGGCCTGTTAAGCCCTTTTGGATATCACACTTTAAACCAAGGCTCTAGCTAACATTAGCTACATAAACATCGACTTATAGCTGCAGCTGTGAGCCTTTTACTTTTGTTAGCAGAAGGCGAAACTACTAACCCCAGCTTTAAATCAGAGTTTTTTCGTGTGTGTTACTGTACCAGTCTGTCTGATGCCTTCAGCCCAGGACACCTCTGCTCTCCAGCCCAGCTGCTGCAGCTTCTCACATTTGATGGGGTAGCGCAGGTCGACACGCGGCCTACAGAGCAGAGGTTAGAGTTCATTAAGCTTGTGGAGACTGTTTTTTTTTTTTTAATAGATTTCTCAGGAAATATTTGTTTGCGCTCACCTGTCAGGCACAAACTCAAGCCAATCGTTCACTTCAGAGTCTGTCACGTTCTTCATCTAAAGAACAAAGACAGTTTATTGAACACCTGCTACCTCCTGCTATATGATTAAATTAAAAGAACAGTTCTTATACACACCATCTTAACAAGTTCCCTGGCCAGCTGCACAATGGGAACCTCACAGCTCGTTCCCACATTGTAGATTTCTCCCACAGTCCCTTTCTCCAGAACCAGCAGGAAGGCGCTGATGGTGTCATCGACAAACAGGAAATGGCGGGATTTCGGGAGGGTTCCCTGGATGGTGCTGCAGCAGAGCGGAGACAGAGAAACCCAGGTTAGAAACTACACATACTCTGCTTTATTTTTGTCTCGATATCAAACAAGTATTGAATCTGATTCGTCAGTGAAAAACAAAAAGAAAGTCAAGCCTACCATTTCTTGTTCATGCGTAAGAGGGTGAGAAACCTTGGAATGACCTGAAAGATTGAGAAGATGATTGCTGGCTTCAAAATGGACCAATCTGATCAAGATGTCACAGTAAAGTCTGGGTGCTGTACCTTCTCAGTGTACTGCCTGGGGCCGTAGATGTTGTTGCTCCTGGTGATGATGATGGGAAACTGGTAATAAAAAGACAGAGCAGTTCTTAACATGCAAAGTTGTGAGGAACAAAATCATGATTATTGCATCTGTTATTAAATGTCAAAATGAGCTAAGCTGGCAAATACAGTGTATTTCCAATCGGATAACCACGATGATAAACCTTAAAGCTTAAATGCATCTAGTATTGTCATATTAACTATACATGTCTTTAGTTAGCCACTTTTCTGCCTGTGTGTGTGTGTACCTTGTATTTGTCCCAGTAGGATCTAACCAGGTACTCTGCGGCTGCTTTAGTGGCAGAGTACGGGTTGGAGGGCCTCACTGGACTGCTCTCATCAAACACCTGCAGACAGCACACACCCAGTATCCACATCATTACGACTCATGACCCCATGATCCACTGAACAATCTGTCAACTAACTCACTGTCCACTGACCTGGTCCAGACTGGCTCCGTACACTTCATCGGTGCTGACGTAGATGAAGCGTTGTGGCTGGTGTCGGGCCTGATGGGCGGCTCCCAGTAAAACTCTGGTCCCATCGATGTTAATGCGCTGGAAACTAGACGGAGTTTCAAACGATGACTCTGAACAAGGGAAGAAAGAAAGAAATATAATTTTCAGAAGCTGATTATGAATACATGAACAGTAAAATCAGCCCGGCAGATGAGTGTAACCTCAATTCCTGCTCACCGACGTGTGTTTTTGCTGCCAGGTGAAAGATCACATCGATGTTTTCAGTGTTGAAAATGTGATTTACCAGCCGCGAGTTACACACATCTCCCTGTTAAAGAAAGGAGTACCAGTATGTTGTTATTTTAATAGAGATCACTACACCAGACGCTGTTGAGCATCTCTAGTTTTACAATATTAACGTGAGCAGCTCTCACCCTGATAAAGGTGTAGTTGGCTCTGTCTTCAACACTCTCCAGACTCCTGAGGCTGCAGCAGTAATCCAACTGGAAGAGATCAGACAATGAGAAATCCTACAGTACATACATATCGCATACTGGGATATATTGATCTATATATTCATTCATCCATTTGGAGTGTCAGCGCGACCAAACACCAGTAAGAACTTACGATATCCAAGTTAATAATTCTCCAGTCAGGGTGTCTGTTGACCAGCGAACACACAAGATGGGAGCCACTGGAACAGAGATGGGGAGGTGGAGATGAGACATTACAAAACACTTACTCTAGTACTGTACCTCAGTTCAGTTTGATTGTACTTGTACTGTCCTTGAGTATTTGATTTTTCTGCTATTGTATACTTCTACTTTGCTGCATTTAAGAAGAAGATGACCTTTTATTTGACAGCTATCGAAGATTAAAACCCATAATAATTACTCCAAAGTTCTTGCCACCAGAGCAAGTCTTCTTCTACAGAGATCTCCATGTTGCACCACCATGTTTCTTCAGTAGCCCAGAACAGACAAACCAAACACTGGCTCGAGATAGGGCCATTTCCATTATGACGTTTTTGCATCAGCCACCATAGTTCACAGCCCTTTTGCGACAAGTGTCTGAAAAACACTTTTCTTTTAACATGAAACTGCTCTATGTAGTGTTGTTACTGGTTTAAATCACCGGGACAGTTTGTGTCAGAGAGGAAGAGACCTCTGCGGGTAATTCGGCTCCTGGTAAAAACCTCCTGAACATCTGGATCTTAAGTAATCAGAGAAAAAAGTTGAGCACACATCAGCAGGTGTTTCCCCGTTTCTGACATGCCAAACAGCATAGGACAAACACTGAGTTTTAACTTGAAACTACTTTATTCAGTGTTTTTACCAGTTTTAGTAACTGATCTGTTTATGTCGGAGAGGAAGAGACCTCTGCGGATAATTCGGCTCCTGGTTAAAACCACCTGAACATCTGGATCTTAAGTTATCAGAGAAAAAAGGTGAGCACACATCAGCAGGTGCTTGCCCGTTTCTGACATGCCAAACAGCATAGGATGAACACTGATTTTTAACATGACACTACTTTATTCAGTGTTTTTACCATTTTTATCACCTGGTCCGTTTATGTCAGAGAAGAAGAGACCTTTGCGGATAATTCGGCTCCTGGTAAAAACCTCCTGAACACTGAACACTGACTAACTGGGAATTTTCAGCTTTTTGCAACCTGCAGTCCTCACTGTTAGATGACACTAAATTCGGTTAAATCTTACTAAGGTTGCAGTGATTCCGGTTTCGAGGTGTAACGTGATATAAAAGCTGACTATTGTGTACATTTGGTTACCTATTTTCATTCCTTTGAGGGTCATTCTGACTGATGATAATATAAATTCTGTAATGTGATACAACGATATTTTGTGAGACGGTTATCTTACTGTGAAGAAGACTGGTTGCCTTATGAGACTGAATGATGACCTGGTACAACTACCTGAATAACGGTGAGTCATGTCTTAATTATCAGTTTAAACTCAAAATAAACTCACATGAATCCATAGCCTCCGGTCACCAGAACAGTCCTGTTAAAGTCCATCTTCCGGTCATCACACTGAACACCGACAGCTGTCTGTTCACATTAAAGTCTCCTATAAACATAATAACGACATCTTGGTCGTTTCTAAACTCCGTTATCTGTCCTGCTACCTGCTAACAAGCAGCACTGAACTTCTTTATTTTCGTCAGTACACTACCTACATTGTGTAATTTAATTTACGACAGTCGATGGCCGTTTTACAGCAGTGTTGACACGTTGAAAAGGGGCGGGATATCTAGCGCATGTAGACGAATTTCTGATCTCTGATTGGTTGTCGTGTGTGACGGCAAGAAATGTGCGCTGTTTGATTGGGTGAATTTTAAATCAGTTAAACTGTCAATATTGCCGATTTGGCATGGCAACAGTGTAAAGTGAGCTACAATACATATGGAACTTCCGGATTATATGTTCAAAATAAAATTATTTGTTAACATTTGGTAAAAATGTATTTATTATCGAAGAATAGGTGCTTTTTAAAGTTTATTTACTAGTTTATTACATTTGCAAGGGTGAGTTGATGTTTTGACGTCACTCTGTACACCATAAATCTTTTCTTTTCTGTTTTATTATTTTATTTTACTTAATAGGATGCAGAGATTCCGTATACAATATGAGGCAAGCATTATTTATTTATTTAATAATTACCGATTTTCAACTGTAATTATGTCCACGAAGGATCTGTTCATCTGTCCATTTCACTTCAAGATTTTTATTTTGTGCAGCAAAATGTGTCCAGTGGTCTGAAAAGGCAATTGATTATATTATTCTAGTAGGCTACCTTTAATTTGTATTTGTAATATTAATAATTGATATAGTTAAAAAAACAACAACAACAACAACTGTGTATGATATGATACTGACACACAAAAATATTGCGATACTATGCTGTATCGATTTTTCCCCCCAACCCTAGTAATGTTATTTATGTTTATGATATTTTCTCATTGTTTTGAGGGAAATATGGCAACAAAGATGGTGTTATCGCTGGATTTCGAATTTATAATTAAGTGATAACCAAGCCCACAGAATTTTTCAGCTTTACAAATTATTATTAAAATTAATTAAAATATACAAACCCTCCCAATCATCTTTTTTTTTTTAAATTAATCAATGCACTTAAACATCTTTTATTTTCCAAAGTGAGCTCTTATGTGAGTGCAGAAACACCTAACTTCCGGTCTCGTCTCTGCTAACTTTGAACAGCTTGACGTAGCTGGTTTACTTCTGGCTTCGTGGCTCATTGAATCCAGTAGCAAACGTTTATTTGTCGGTAACGTCAAACTGCAGCGGGGGAAAATGTCGTATTTATTAGCCACACTTGTCGCCGCAGTGCTGCTCGGTTCTGAGGCTTTGGGGAAAACTGTGACGGGACGTTTTAAGAGCGAAGCGGCGAGACAGCAGAATGGCCAGTTCATCACTAAATTCATGTACCAAGGTAACGACACTGATGTAATGATGCTAACGTGTCATTCAGGCACTCACTGGGCTAGCTCATAGTCACTGTTAATTTTTAGCATGGCGTAACAGTTGTGTTTTGAGTCATTTTACTCTATTGTTTCTGTTTTATTTTCTCTTTTGGCTCTTGTTTTATTTGCCACTGGCTCATCAATGGGTGTAACTAGGGTGTCATCACTACTTTATCTGATTATATCACTTTCAATAACCTGAGTTTGTCCATCCTCTGTTTCCGTATTTGTGCCACTTTAAAATCACAGCAATCTCTTCCAGCATCAGCAGTTATTATTTTTATTTTGAGCATTTTCTGAATCAGGGTGTCTTCATTCAGTTATTTGCTTCAAGACAAGTTACACATTGTAAATCAGCCTGCTCAACCAATACAAGTCTTCTCCTACCTCATCCAATAATCTGGACTTTCTGCTGCCCTTCCAACACCCACCAAAGGTCCAAGAGTGAGGTCAGAGGTTAGCTGGATCCCACTGAGCTGATAGGGTCATAGGTGGATCATGAACCAACTTGTTCCTGGGCACAGACCTGCAGAAGGCACCACATAAGAGCACGACACACAGACTTTATAGTTATTTAGCTTCTTTTTGTTGTAGTTTTGCATCTCTTTGTAGTTGTGTGACTCTTTGTGGTCATTTAGAGCCTCTTTGTAGGTGTTTTATGTATCTTAGTGGCCATTTCAAGTCTCTTAGTAGTAGGTATGTGTCTCTTTGTTGTCATTTTGAGTCTCTTAGTAGTAGCTTTGTGTATCTTTGTTGTCATTTTGAGTCCCTTAGTAGTAGTAGCTATGTTTATCTTTGTAGTCATTTTGAGTCCCTTAGTAGTAGCTATGTGTCTCTTTGTAGTCATTTTGAGTCCCTTAGTAGTAGCTATGTTCATCTTTGTAGTCATTTTGAGTCCCTTAGTAGAAGCTATGTGTCTCTTTGTAGTCATTTTGAGTCCCTTAGCAGTAGCTATGTGTCTCTTTGTCGTCATTTTGAGTCCCTTAGTAGTAGCTATGTCTCTTTGTAGTCATTTTGGGTCCCTTGGTAGTAGCTATGTTTATTTTTGTAGTCACTTTGAGTCCCTTGGTAGTAGCTATGTGTCTCTTTGTCTTCATTTTGAGTCCCTTAGTAGTAGCTTTGTGTATCTTTGTCATCATTTTGAGTCCCTTAGTAGTAGCTATGTTTATCTTTGTAGTCATTTTGAGTCCCTTAGTAGTAGCTATGTGTCACTTTGTCGTCATTTTGAGTCCCTTAGCAGTAGCTATGTGTGTCTTTGTCGTCATTTTGAGTCCCTTAGTAGTAGCTATGTGTATCTTTGTAGTCATTTTGAGTCCCTTAGTAGTAGCTTTGTGTCTCGTTGTAGTCATTTTGAGTCTCTTTGTGGATGTTTTGCCTTTTTCATAGTCATTTGAGTCTCTCTGTGCCTTTTTTAGCTGTTTTACACCTCTCTGTAGTCATCTTGTGTGGCTTTCTTGATGTTTTGCATCTCCTGTAGTCATTTTGTGTCTTTTTGTGGTCAATTCGAGTCTTGTCTCGTCAAGTGACAGTTTGCAGGTGAAGGCAAGGGGGACTCCAGACACTTTGTGCCTGAGGCCTGTGCCCTGATAGGCCCGTTCAGTAATCTGTCCATGGGTAGATTGTCTGGCTGCCTCCAGCTGGGTGGATATTTAGTGGTGGGTGGGTTAAAAAATAGTGGAGCATGTGAGACCATTTTTATTTTGCTGCGATTAACTGATAGAAATCTAATAAATGAAGACGTGTCCGACCCTTGTCCCATCTCTGTCTCTTTATAGGTGATAATGGTCTGTTGGTGTGCAGGCTGGACAACTCTGCTCTGGCTGCTGAGAAGGAGTCCAGGCTGCTGCTGTATCAGGATATGGACTCCACGCTGGACAACCTCAGCTGCTCTGAGAGGCTCGCTAAAGCTGAGTTCTCCAGTAAGAACCAGCATTGATACGATGGGTGTGATGCAGCTGTATTGATTTTTATCCTTGATATCCATCCACACTGTCACCTCACACCACTGTGTTTGTCCTTTTTGTCCTCCTGCTTCAGTTTCTCTCAGTCAAGACGAACACAACCAGACGATCCCTCGTCAGTTCTCTCCTACATCGTGGCGGGCCCTGTATGCTGACAGATATACATGTCAGGTAACTTCAAACATTGGTAACCCCACCTTAACAAACACATACATGGACATAAAATCTGAGTTGAATACCAAAGTTTAGAACAAATGGAGGAGGTGACTCAGGTTGTAACAGCCGCTGTGTACAAATGTATGAATGTGACCAGATCAGGGCTGCAACTGATTATTATTTTATCATCGATTAAGGTGCCCATTATTTTTTCAGTAATTGTTTTGCCAATAAAATGTCAGAAATTGTGAAATGAAAGATTTCTGCCAAACAAAACCTTACGCTTGTAGAGTGAATATCTCTTTGGCATTACGCAGTTGCAGCCCAAAACCTCAGACGAACCATATCACAACATCTGAACAGTAGACTAAACAAGACTGATGCTGATGAAGTAAAGCAGAGAACATTTAGAGAGGTTTTAGTAGAAGCATGTTACAGCAGGATCTCCATGTTGGCCATTTGGGTTCATTTGAGTACAGTTTGTGCCATTTGAAATTTTCTCTGGTAATTACAAAACTCATTTAATTTCACGTACATGTCAAGACGTGTTGAAGTGTTGCTCAAGTGCTCCTTAACATAGTTACGTCGTCACAGGCTTGTGTGTGTCTGCTACTTGCCAGAAACCACCTCACCTTGACGTCATCTAGAGTTTATTGTCTCACTTATAGCTGTGTGACTATAGTGACAGTTATAGTGACAGTTTTTAATGAAAGTTACCAACCACAGCTTTAATACAAGAGTTAATGTTGTACCATGATTCAGCCACTAGATGGAGACATAGACCATGAAATGAGCTGAAGAGATGAGCTTTCTAAGGGTCATTTCCCATGCAAGGGATAGAGAAGTTGGAATATACACCAGAAATAGACTTAAAATAGCCTACAGTCTTATTATTCAAGCAGTAATGGATTTATGTGGTCAGATCAGACAACTTTCATTTACAAAAACAGCGAAAATAAGACATAATTTATGGCTATAGCTGTATTAAGTGAAGTATATTTTTGCTCTTCCTCAGCTGCCAGGTCAGTGAAATTTGTGTATAGTGATTAAACACATACCTTTGGAATCTGTTGAGCCTCAGCTTTGTGTTGGTAGTGAAATTAGCTATTGCAACCCATGCGCTTATGCACCGTTAGTGTGTTTTTGATATGAGAATTATAAACTTTATTTATGTAGCATCTTTCAAAACATGGTTACGAAGTGCTTTACAAAACTGAATAAAAGACAAAGCAAATAAAATAAGATAAAAGCAGTAAAAACAGAAAACACACAACAGCAAAACACGCGATAATAAAGCTGTTAAAATAAAGGCAAATTCAGACTAGGTTTTCAGAAGTGATTTAAAAGTTGAGACAGAATTTGCCCTGATCTTCTCAGGCACGTCAGTCCAAAGTTGTGGAGCTCTGACTGCAAGTTACTTGAGTAACTAAATATACAGTACACATGTAGCACATAACAACGTCACTGCCAGTGTGAAAACTCCAAATAAATAAATACACTTAACAAAACTGAGCTGGAAAAATAACAACAAACACCCACGCTTATACCAGCAGTAGTAATATTAATGTCAGGGTTCAGAATGTATGAAATTCCTTAATAATCTTTATCCATTTTCAGTACTTATATTGGTACTAAGAGCAGTAATTTGTTACTTAAAGCTTTCCTTCTCTATTTCCTGTCTGTCTCTGCAGGAAAGTGCAGTGATTCCTGCTCATGCTGATCTCAGTTTTACCATCTTGCTGTTTAACCCTGACTCAGCTGGGAATCCTCTGGAGCACTTCAGCGCGGAGGAGGCAGGTCAGAAATAAGGACGTTTTTTATTTTGATATATTAAAGTGGGGAATCCCAAGCCCTGATTTTTGTTTGACAAACCATATCGACCCTTTTTTCAGTCTAAATAGAGTCATCCAAAACCACTGCTTTATGCTTGTGTGGTGCTGTTAAAAAAGATGTTTGTGTTAAATATTTAAAGGGAAGAAAGTGCATACACATGCTGTCAAATCTCTCATGCTGCTCACATGTGACATTATAACAAGAGGTTATGATTTGTTCAAGATGTAGAGACCAGTCCTGAGAGATCTGCATCATTTATGTGGGACAAAATGTTTCCTCTTGACTCATCTTATTCTCTCTCTCTCTGTCCCAGGTCTTCACAGTTTCTACTTCCTGCTGCTGCTGGCCTACTTCATCGCCTGCTGCATCTACATCCAGCCTCTGTACCAGGCTCTGAGGAAAGGAGGTCCCATGCACACCGTCCTCAAAGTGCTGACCACGGCGCTGGCGTTACAGGCCTGCTCCGCTCTCTGCAACTACATCCACCTGGCCAGGTAGAATCTGCAAATAAAGATATAAGATTTCCTTTTCAATTTAATAGCTTTTAGTCCCAAAGAGGTAACATTCCAGTGTATCACAAGAAAAATTAACAGAATTAGAAATAAATGCACATTTGTGCAGCAAAATTAGGTTCTTTTCAAACTTGTATTTCATCTTGCACATGACTGGAGCATTCACACCCATCAAGGCAGCCTCTTTTTAGGAAACAATCATGCATGATGGGCGGTTTTGATCTAGTATATACAGGATTTAGGTGAAGTGGAGAGCAGCTTTCTTCATTTTCCCCTTATTATACTTATTAACAAATTTCTTACCAATTCCACATATAGTTTTTTAAGCAAGGAGCCTTTGAGCTTTGCGATTAACATTGTTGTTTTGTTTCTTTTCTTTCTCCTCTTGTTATATATATAACTATCGCACTCTATTGTCTCCCGTTCCCTCCTCTTGTGCTCCGCAGGTATTCCAGAGATGGTACTGGTATTCCTCTGATGGGCAGCCTGGCAGAGTGTACGTTGTCTCTCTCCATCCGTATTTATATCTACTTCTGAAGCTTGATTCAGTTAGGGACTGTGCCCACCCTCAACACTGTGCCCACCCTCCAGTCTCCCCAGAAGCTTGAGCCACAAACACCCTTTAGCATTGTTAACTGTGTTACTAATAGCTCCATTAGCATTGTCAGCACAGCACGCGTTGCTAAGATACTTTACAATGCTAAAGGGGTTTTGCTGCTTAAACTGAAGCTGCTTACTTGCCAGGTAAAGCTGGGGGGAGATCGAAGGGTGCCCACCATGTTTACACAGCAGGATGGCGTTGCTGCATAGGCGTTCCTTACACATGATGCGTTCAAGAACTGTAAGAAATGTGGAAATCCAAAGATAATTTCTGTTTTTTACAGTTTTTAGCGATGATAAATGGTGTCATTTTGGTGATTTTTTTTAAAGATTATTTTTGAGCTTTTATTGCCTTTATTACAGTGCAGCTAGAGAGTGACAGGAAAGGGGGAGGGAGAATGGGGATGACACTCACGAAGGGCTGCGGGTTGACACACTACTTGCTGAACTAGAGGCCGCCCCTATTTTTACATTTTTTTTTTAAAGAAAAATTGCCTTTCAAACCTGGCTGTGTGTTTTGGGGTTCAGAGGGTACTTAAATAAATACAAAATACTACAATTTAAAGTTGTATGTCCAAAATTAAAAACATAAGTTCCTCCCCAGTGCTTAAAAAATCATTTGACACGCCTCCCCCATTTTTTCACCACCCCCATCCCGTCAAATAAATAACAAACAGTCCCTTGAAGGCATTAGATTCTCTAATTTGTAAACAGACAAGAAATTAATTTGTTAATTACATTTTTGTTCCCTGTGCAGTCTGGGATATGGTGTCCCAGGTGTCCATGCTGTACATGTTACTGAGTCTGTGCATGGGCTGGACTCTGAGCCGAGGCAGGAAGCCTCAGTCCAGACCTCTACAGTGGGAACAGTCTCCGGCATCCACGGCTGTCGCTGTAGGTGGAGTTGTTATACAGGTACGCAGGATTACACTGAAAACTAATACTTCAGGGTGATAGTGAATTTGAATGTAAATGAAATGTGGTGAGATATGGTTCAGGTTGAAGTTATCCTGCATACTAAAAGATACTGACAGTGACACGGTGTCATTTTCAGGGCGTGTTGCTGCTGTGGGAGCAGTACTCCGAGACAGAGAGTCAACATCACAGCTACCACGCCCAGCAGAGTCTGGCAGGTCTCCTCCTCATGGCTCTGAGAGTGGGCCTGGCCCTCCTGCTGGCCTCTGTCCTCTACCAGATCATCTCCACCGAGAGGAGCACCCTGAAGAGAGACTTCTACCTCTGCTTCGCTAAGGTAACATACACAGCACACTAATGTACCCTCAAGGCACACAGATACTCACCTACAGTTCCTCAGGTGGTCATGTGGTGTTCCTTGTGTTCTGCAGGGATGCTTCCTGTGGTTCCTCTGCCATCCCGTCCTCTTCCTCATGTCGGTCATCTTCAACGAGCACCAGAGGGAGAAGGTTTGAACACACTAACAAACCACATTTGAAGTGTAACTTATTAAGTCTGAGCTGGAGTTTTCAGGTAGGGGAAAATGAGCTTGAAGCAATGTAGTTTGCCTGTGTTGCCACAAGTTCTTTGGTGTCGGTTTGGTGTGTCAGGGCCTTAACTCTCTCTCTCTCTCTGTAGGTGGTGACTATCGGCGTGATCCTCTGCCAGTCCATCTCCATGGTGATCCTCTACCAACTCTTCCTGTCTCGTTCTCTCTACTGGGAGGTCTCCTCTCTCTCCGCTGTGTCTCTGCCGCTCACCATGTCCAGGACGAACCACAGAGGGCGCTACTGAGCGCATCCACTGTCACACACACAATCCAGGGAGAGCACACTGTGACACGGAGGCTTCACTCCCGCTACCTGCCACTGTGTGCGAGGTGGGAGACCTCCTGAGCACGAAGACAGGAAGTGCTGTAACACTGCAGGGACTGTTCTCCTTTACTGTTACTGTTTCCTGGGAGACAAGTAGTAGCCACTAGCAAGCAAGTCAACAGGGAACTACAGCTCGGGTCACTAAACGACCAGAGGAAGATATTTACAGTAACACCCTACCTCTAGAACCAACATTGACATTACTGAGCAGGAGGAGAGATATTTAAAGCAGGACGCCAGGCTTTCTGTGACACGCTGGATGTCAGAACTAACAGCCAAAGTACAATTTCAGAACAAAACACGCATGATGAAGCTGGATTGCCAAGATTCAGGATTTTAGGATGCATCTGCACATTGCAAACACTGACTCATCATCAGTGTCGCGGAGAGATAATTGTTTGGACCTCAAGGACACGGCCCAGGATCAGGATCAGATCAGAGGGGTTTGTTGCATCCGAGGAAACTTCTCTGCAAGGACACAAATGTGCGTCTTTGTGCTCTTGGCTTCAGTCACTATTACTATAAGGGAAAATACAAAGCACAGGGAAGCGTTACACCACTGATTAGCTGTGGTGTTAGGGATGCAGGAAGGGTTCTAGTCATTCAATGAAACTTGGATCAGATCGCCAAAGAGAGAGCTTGTAAGTCAGATTTCAGTAAGGCTGTTGTTATTCTGTGTTTTTCTTATTGCCAACAAATCCCATGAAAAGACAAACACAACAATCACCCTCACCTCACCTGAAGAGGTAAATCTTCAGCAGCAACTCAGTACTTTCTGACCTCTCAACTACAAGTCCAACATGTCAGAAATATATATTTTCATTTTCAGAATCAGCTCAGTAATTTCCAACAGCTGGGCACTGTAGTTTTTTGTAAATGTTAGTTAAACTGGAGTAAATGCTGCATTTGTTTGGGACTACTTTCAGCTGTGGATGGATACACATTTGGTCTCAAATGCACAGTTTAAACAGAGTCTCTTACCTTTAATTACACTACATTTTCTCCAAAATAAGTTCTCATGGTGGTCCATTAAAACAGGAGGGACTTTGCCTCTTGAAACACTGTAGGCTCTGGTCTTTTCACAGGATTTATTTACAATAAGAGAGCAAATTAACATGCGTTGATTGATGGATCAGTATGTGGTAAGATTGATATGTTACTCTGGATGAACAGATGGAGGTGGAGAGTGAACTGGATGGACTTACAGATGGATGTACTGAGGGAGGGACAGATGGAAGTGTGGAGGTGGTTACAGTATGTCAACAGGTAAAGTCTCCGAAATACAAAGGATGAGTGCGCTTCTGTGTTTGCACATGCAAAGTGAGCCAAAAAATCAGTGTGTGCTCCCTTTATTTCTTTACGCTTGACATGAGTTTACGAGCTGACAGCATGTGAAACCTTGAAATCATATGAACTTCATGTAGCTGGAGACACACTGCATGACATCTTTTTTTAATGTTTTATTTTCCATTCACTGCACCCTGAGCTGGAGCGCTCTGCCTGGGCCAATGATATTCCTGATTACACACTTACAGCCCGGTGGGAACAGACCTGCGGGTTCATTTAGGACTGACATACAGAAGAAAATAAAATTCCACTTCTGACAGCTGACGTAATAGGTGACATATTTATTATTCGTTGTGTATTTATTTCTTTAAAGTGAATGTAGGTGTGTTATCTGGGCAGTATGTACTGTATGCACTGTACTGTCTATTTTATTCGACACTATGACACTCCTTGTCTACTTGGGAAACAACAAAATATTTGGAACAACATTTAGTCCTCAGATTGTTTCACATGGATACGGTTCAGGTTATATTTGTTTTAAAAACAGGAAAACAAGTTCTGTCCAGTCATTCCATTTTTTATTTTTGCAGTATTCACACTCCAGTGTCCATATGTCACATGTATTTATTTTCTATACAACCCAGCCTGTGGAAATTTGGGATCTGTGATCATTACAGCTGTAATAAAGCAAATGTAATAAAATACATTTTGAAATAACGTAGCTAATCTTAAATGCTTGTCTTCTGGCTAATGTTCTTCATGATGTTATGCTGGTTTCATTATTAGAATATACACCAGAGTCATGGGGCTGTTTACTTAAACTATGGAGGCAAAAAAGAGGCACAAGACACAACCACTGAATACTTAATATTGAAATGTAAACACCATTGAATTCATAACATTGATTTTTTTTTTTTTTTTACTTTGAAAACAAAACATGTACCTGAATTTATTTCTGCTGAATTAACCTCTTTGAAATTAAAATATGAAATATATTGATTTGTAATTTCAAAAGTTTTTTTTTTTTTTTTTTTACTTTGAAAACAAAACATGTACCTGAATTTATTTCTGCTGAATTAACCTCTTTGAAATTAAAATATGAAATATATTGATTTGTAATTTCAAAAGCTGAATGTTAATATATTATATATTATTATTATTGTAATCAGATAGTTTCACGTCTGTTTCATTATGTGCAAATACATTTTGAGGGTACCCATCCACTTCCTGATAGTACATTTCTTTGACAGACAACATCACAAGATTGACCACTTTTTTGTGTGTGTGCAATAAAAATATTTATACACTAAGATTATCCCCCACAAGGTCCATGTTAATGGGGTAGTATATATGACACATGATGGTAGGAGCTTAAGAACTACCAAGGAACACAAAATGACTACTTAGAGATGTAAGTAACTACAAAGAGTCTCAAAATGACTACAAAGAGACACAAAATAACCACTTAGACACAAAACAACAACAAAGAGCCTCAAAATAGCTACAAAGAAAACACAAAATGACCACCAAGACACATAAAGCAGCTACAAAGAGCCCCCAAATGGCTGCAAAGAGACACAAAATAACCACTAAGACACAAAACAACTACAAAGAACCTCAAAATGACAACAGAGACACATGACCACAAAGAAACTTAAAACAACCACAAAGAGCCCCAAAATGACTACAAAGAGACAGAAAACAACCACTTGAGACAAAACCACTGACAGATATATAAAAAAAAAACAACCAAAAAAAAGGATGAAGCTAAACATCTATATAGGCTGAGTGTCTTGCTGCTATTTAAAACTCGTGATGGGGCGTTCTGTGTGCCTGTTGTCTCATCATCTGCCCATCAAAGTAATAAAATATTCAATGTAAAAAGAAACGAAAATTCGTCACGAACAGGATTCGAACCTGTGCGGGGAAACCCCATTGGATTTCGAGTCCAACGCCTTAACCTCTCGGCCACCGTGACTACGCATGCCTACTTTGTTTCGACTTTGAATTTAACTATGGTAAAGGACAAATAAAGAATCGTTATATATGCACTGTTGTTGTTATTATTATTATTATTATTATTATTATTATTATACATTGTTTAATCAAGAATTTGAATATGCATCGCGCCGTATGGGACGGGAGCGCCATCTTGAGAGGTTCGTACTCTGTTATCCCTTTTACCAAAGTGTACGCAGTCAGTCCAAAACGGAAATGATATGCAATGTCCGAGTAGGTGAGTCGAGGACGTGCATCGGGGTGAATATGAGCCAAAAGGATCCAAAGCTCCAATATTTAAAACAACCTTTTAACGAGCCTAATGACAGCATCTTCCATCCGCGTCTCGAACTTTCAACAACATACGAGTCCTTCAAGAGAAATGATGCCTTCATGTGTAATGGGAATGCAAACTATAACAAAAATACGCAATACAATTAACTAAGAAACATTGAAAACTAGTTTTACAATAATAACAATACAGTTCAAGAATTTTTTCATACTTAAATTCATATCTATCACCGCGAACTGCATATATATGTTAATGCCACAATGGTGGATCATCACTTGAAGTTCCTAAACTAAAATATTTGAGTCCATCCGTTGCTGAACGCAGCACTACTTACGTTCAACAGAGCCTGCATTTCAATTGGTCGGTCACTGCAAGCCCCGCCTTCTTCAGAAAGCATTAAAACCTCTCTAGCTGTCAAAGTGAAGGACAAACTTCTACACTACAGGCGCCATAATGATTAACTGGAAGGTAAATAAATTCTAATTTATCATTTTATAGATACATTATGCATGATTTGTTATTAGTGTAAAAGCTGTTTCGCATGTGGTTCTCTAATAACGCTTAGGTTGTCTCAACTGTCACTAGCATAATGCTAACGTTGCTACAGCTGAGTGAGTTTGTGTGTCTCGCGTTATCTGCCACAACTGTCACAAATTGGTTATATAATAAAATAGAAGTTTTTGTGTATGCCTTTCATGCTGTCTCTCTGTCCCGTAATTTGGCTCTGTTGTTAGAGTAGCCGTGAATTTTAGGCAAATATAAATGGGAAAATTTTGCGATAGTCCGCTTGGAAATACGTCAAGACTAACCTTATGATTAAATTGAGATTAACGGCTGATGCAGTTGTAAAAGGTAAAAAATAAATTAAACGTGTTCGTATTGATGGCTTGTGTGTATGCCGAATTAGTCTCTGTACTGTAATGATTAGGAGCAAATCGTGAAATCTATCATGCGTTACCAACTTCGGTCAGTATATGTTGCAATTTAAAAATTGTCACTTTTTTGAACGAGGTCTGGGCGACAAAAACTGTACCACTGCAATCCCAGAATGCACATGGTTTGCAGCTGCTTCTCTCTTTCACACATCTCCCCCTCTCACTGTGACCAAATTAACTCCCACCTCCTGCTTGAACAGCTGAGGCCACTGGTGGATAAGAGGGAAGGGGGCGGGGGAGAAACAGCTTCAGGATGCCTGAATGTTCCAGAGCTGTCTTTTTCTTCTTTCACTTCCTATGGACATAAAGTAGCTCTTTTTTTCTGCAAACATTGGTAAAATTCTTATGTTTGGAAGAAATGTGCTTTGCTCTCTATAAGTTGTCTGGAAGCAGAAAAAGGCATAGCATTCCTCAAACATAAACTCTGCCTATCCTCAGGCTTTGGATAACGTCCCCATCCTCCTGTACATCCTAGCCCTGAAGACACTGCTGCTGTGTTTGGCGTTCGCCGGGGTGAAGATCTACCAGAGTAAGAAAGCTGATGAGGCCCTGAAGAAGCAGCAGGCTGAGAAGAGGAGGCTCGCCCAGCAGACACAGGAGCTCATAGACAACAAGAAGGAGGACTGAGCAGAGGAGAGAGGCAGCTGTACACAGGTACTGCACTGTACCACGCCATAAACATACAGGGATGCTTAAGTAATCAGCTGTTTTACAGCCAGTAGTGATTCATTCATTATACTGTTATACAGAGCGGCTTGAAACATCTGATTATATTGGAGATATTTTATTTATTTTACTTTTTATCGTACTTAGCAAAACTGCAAACTGGTGACTGTACGGCTGGCTTTTTAGTCACATAGCCAACTACACCAATTAAGTATTTACCACACACTGTTGCACCCAGGGGACACCAACACTTTGTAGATTATTCATAAATTGATAGTGCAGCTTTTTTCAGTCATGGTGGTCATTTTCAAAGAGGTCATAACCACATGAAGTAAATATGTCATATAGACCGGTTACTGATTGTGATCCATCTCACTTTGTTATATTCTCTCTCTCCAGGGAAACATGTTACTGACCTGAGCAACAAGCCGCTGTCTCCACATGTGTGACTCTCAGCAGCAGGAGGACCATCCTGTGCTTCACGAAGTGTTTGTGGTTCTGGTACCAGTTTTATATATCATGTAAATGTTTGACTGAACAGGGTTTTTATAAAATGAAATTACATCAGAAACCACGTGGTCTCACTGCAGTGAGACTGAGATAAGGGACTGTTGTGTCTTTTCAACGGACATAAAAGAACCACAGCAGGCTCAGCATCAACATAGTTTTTCCCAAACATCCACTCCTTTCTGGGCCTCATCCTCTGCATTGTGTATACTCTTCTCTATCTGTCTCGACACTTGAATGAGCTCCACTTTGTATACTGGATAGTGTAGGATCAAAGCTTGTCAAATCTGCATTTCATCTGTATTTATTCTGTAATATTCCTTGTAAATTGTGAGCCAACTTTGTGCCAAACTTTTGTAATTTATATTAAATAGTTTGTCCCACGTGCTACGATGTTGTTCTGCTTTTATTTCCCAGAATTCCTGGAAGTATGTAACACCTTTTGCTTCCTTGTTTCGAAGCCACAGCGGGGTCACGTTGAGTCTTCTCTGTCAGCCATAATATGTTCCAGCATTGTGTGTGCAGTCCAGATATAACTAAACCAGGGTTACCACGAGTCCTTGAAAGTTTGACGGGGTAAAATCAAAAATACACATGAAATTTAATGAATTTATACATTTTTGTGCCAGAATAGGCTCTGTTTAATAGTTGTCCGAAGGCTGCTACTTCTCAAAATGAAAATCTGCAGTGTTGTAATTAAACTAGATCTGTGTCGGTAACTATGCTGTGTTGTGTCCTTTAAAGGGAATTGGGCCTGGAAAGTAACCCTACTTCCTCATTTTGTTAACTTAATTTTCTTCTATTTATTCATATTTTTGATAGTGTTTTTACTATATGATCTGTCTACCACACTGGTGTCTATGGCAGTTTATACTCCGACTCAAGTCTACCGGTCTATTTTATATATTTATTGGTAAATAAAGTAATTTTTCATCCTGTATACTCCTCTGTTTTGACATGTTTGCCCTGTTTTTCAAAGCTCTGTTTCCAGTCAAGTTTGTGGTAAAAAAGTTGATACCACTTGCTGTCTCCTATCCAAGTACTGTGTGTGGTTGTTACCACACACAAGTATTGTGAGACTCTTGCAATGGACCGTACCACTGCGCAGTGCAATAGGAGACATTAAGACGTCACGTGCTGTTTTCCGAGCAACATGACATTGCTGGCGAAGTCAGTAATTTATTTTCTGTTAAGCTGAATCAATAGGTGAGTTATATATCGCCGTATATGTACTGCAGGGATCACGTTTTACACCGTATTATATAGTGACTCCCACGCTTGGACATAATGGTCTAGCCCATGTACAAATCAGAGCGCGGCAGTCGAGTTTTCCTACCTGGACCCAGGTCAAACTACTGTCTAAGTGTAACTGAATCTTTGAGTCTTTGTGTTTAACTCTCTTAACTATTGCATGTCGTTTTCTGTCAGGAACCTTTGTATCTATATCTCAGAGAATCAAACTCTCCTGAAGCTGTCTTTGTTTTGTCTTTGTTAATTTTTGTGTATTTGAAATAAATGTTTGTTTTATTCTTCCCGCAATTTGCAGCAAACATTTTGTTCTTCCGTTATTTTTCATATACAGGATTTTTAATGATTATCTGCAATTACTTTATTGTATTATACGGTTAAACAAGATCTAAGAAGATATAATTTAACACTTGTACACACTTGGTGAGTCCTCTCTGACACTGATAATAAAGGTGTAAGAAAACGAAACTATGTGAGTGTCTCTTCAACTGATTTGGACTGGACTGTTCCACTGTGCGGTAAAAAGAAGGGAGACCGTAAGACGTCACGCGCTGTTACTACAGGGTTTCAGAGCAAAATAGCATAATTGACAAAGTCACTACTTCATTCGACATTTCATTAAACGATAAGTGAAATACTTACAGGCGTTTACGTATTCCAGAGATCACCTTACATCGTAATTGTTATAGTGAAACCCACGCACAGAGATAATGGTTTAACCGACTTCCTCACCTGCAGCTTTGAATTTTAACCGCTCCTTTAGCAACAACATGGCTAACGGTGCAGTCCTGTGTCTCCTTTTTGTGTCGGGGCTCTGTCAAAAAGGTAGGAAATATAAATAATATTACATAATATTACACTTATTGGTTGGTTTTAAGTCTATTTGTTTTGAATAGATTAAACTGCATTCACACGTGATGACACTGTTCAGTTAATAGCATTAATATTAGGGTGCTTTCTATTTAGCTAGCTTGTCAGATTTAATCACTGACTTGTAGTTGCTTATTGAATTACAAGTCACAATGCTGAGCAGCCAGTAGAGATCAGAGACACACAGTTGTTTCCCCTCATAACTGTCAGTTCATTTCTTCCCTGCAGGTCTAGCAGCTGTGATAGAGACTCAGCAGACTGTGATGGCAGCAGTGGGAGAAGAGGCTCTTTTAAACTGTCAGCTGATGCAACCTAAAGATGTTCTTCAAGTGTCATGGCAGAAAGTTTTACCTGAGGGGGGGAAAAATCTTGCGTCTTACAACAAATACTTTGGTCAGAAAGTGAATGATGGTTTTCAGGATAAGGTGGAGTTTAAAGATGCTGGACTGCTGAACTGTTCCATAGTTATCAGGAGGGTGACAGAGGAAGATGAAGGATGCTATCGGTGTCTGTACAGCACCTACCCTCACGGAGCTTTCATAGCTAGAACATGCCTCCAACTCTATGGTAAGAACCTTACAGTGTTATTAAAGACATCTCCATCATCCTTAAAGTATGTCCTGTAAAAACTTGATGTGATGTTTTTAAATGTGTGGTGTGTGCAGAGCTGCATGAACCCGTTCTACATGTCAGAGAATCAAACTCTCCTGAAGAGGTAGTTGTGTCCTGCTCGGCCACAGGTCGACCTGCTCCCACAGTAAGACTGACTGTCCTTCACTACAACTCTACCAGTGTCACCAACACCAACGCTACAGTCACTGTCACCGCTACAGCCGTGCTGCCTCGTCTCCATGGCAACAGCACACAGGTTGGATGTGCAGTGCAAGTGCTCTCTGGTCCTCAGATAGAGGTGTTTACCATGATTCCTGAGGTCACACTGTTGTCTGCTGATGGTGAGAAACACCTCCAAAGATCCAATGAGGAATCTGGGTCTGACAAAGGTGATTTCACTAAGCTAACCTTTATGTGGTCTCATGTCAGTCTCACCATTTGATCTGTAGTTGCTTTATGAATGTTGAGTGTTACTAATTTTCCTTTCTTCTCACAGATGTCACTTTGATCATTGTGTTGGTCGTGGTCATGTCCTTTGTTTGTGTTGCTATCATTATCGCCGGCCTGCTTATTCAAAAACATCGCAACTGGTAATTATAAACTTTTAACACCTGTCTTGTTGTAACACCAGTGTCTCACATTTAATATAATAATGATTCATTGAGATCTATTTAGACAAAGCCCACAAATAAATGTTTGTTCAGCACTGACTTTTCTTAAATCCTTCAGACTGTCACACAGAGACTCTGAGAAGAACAAGACACCACAAAAAACAACCAAAGACACTGAAGAGTAAGAAACTTTATTCATTTTTCATTTGTGCTTTCATCTGTACCTCCCTAACTAATGTGTTAACATATTTGTGAAGTCAACCATGATACACTGTACTCTTCATGGACCATTATGTATTCATAGTCAGCATGTTTGTCATCACTGTTGTTCAGAGTGATTTGGAAACCGACTAATACCTTGTTTTATCTGAAGGCCCAGAACACCTTTACTGAGTCAAGAGAACGAGGTACGGCAACGGATGTCCACTGGGAAAAAGAAAGAAAATGTCTCCCCAAAAGAATCATCTCTGAGAGCAGGGTGTCAGCGACAACTGAGTCAGCAGTTCACTGACACACAATCAGTACGTTTACATGCACAGAATGAAAGGCCATTCCGATTAAAAGTGGTCATGTAAACGGTCATTCCGATTGAAAAACGGTCATTCCAATTGAAAAACGGTCATTCCGATTGAAAATTAAATCTGATTAAAGGGGGTGGTTTATTCCGTTTGTCATTCCGAATGAAAGAATTTTGTGTGCATGTATACACTCATTCCTCTTTAAGTTAATTCCGGTCTTTCTGCGCATGCTCGTTTCCTTGCCCTTCTGGCGCGATGGCGTCGTCAAGCATCTTGTTATCCGGAGCGAGGACTACAGTGTTTTCTTCCGGTAAACGTAAACACGTAACATCCGCCCCGCCCCCTATCCAATCAGAAACCATCCCTGAACAAAACCTTGCACAGACCAAAATAAAGACGAATGAACTGATCTCCCATGTAAACCCTCATTCAGAATGAATATTTCACATGTAAACTACCTGGAAAGACTTTAATTCCGAATGATTTCATTCAGATTTATTTCATTCCGAATGAGAAGCCATCATGTAACCGTAGCCATTGACCCCTAAGAGTGTAGTGCCTGAATGAAGACAGTTGGACAAAACTGCCTCAAAGCCTAAAATCATGTATAAGATGAATGTTTGACTACAACACAGAGAACATGTCTGTCCCAGTTAAAAGATAATGGCCCTCATTTATCAGTCTATCATACAAACCAGCGCAAATCCAAACACAGAAATCATCTTATGATAGGGTTTGCTTGTAATTCAAGAAACGTTCTTATCTCGCCAATCACAGCATAGGAATGATCAGGTGTTGACATGGCAGCTAAAGACAATCGCCAAAAGAAAATCATCACTCCAGTCAGCAACTCAATGGACAACTGAACTCGATGTGGGAATATTTAATTCATACATCCATTATATTTCAGTCTTGATATATACGTTAATATGAAATATGAAGTGACAAACACTGCACTGGATATAGTCTAATAACAGTTTTCCTCAGTAAGATCTACTAAAACTGCATACAGGAATAGAGACTTGATGTGAGATCTGACCGAGGCCTCCACCTGCCTGTCAGCTACTTAAATTTGCACGACCATCAGAAGCATATCTACTGTAGTAACGGCTCTTATGTAAAAAGCTACTGGGCTACCCTAATTTCCCTTGGGCATTATAATCTTGTCTATCAATCTATCTATCCACCCACATCAACATTTATGAATGCTGAATTTAGGGTGTAAATTGCTGTACGCTTAGTTTTCTGTTGTACATTTGTTTCATAAACGAGGTCCAATGATTCAGGTTGATTGTTTACAATAATTATGGTGTCAATGTTTGTATACCTTATATTTTTTAATGTACATATTTTGTAGCATCTTTAATGTGAATTAAACCAATCTACTGCTATATATATGTAATTTTACAACTGCTTCTTTATGGATTATTTTTCATGTAAACTGAAATATAATAAAGATTAAATTACAGAGGACTATGCAAGTCAAGAACAGCCATGCTTGCAAATATTACTTTTAAATGCCGTTTTCTTGCGATCTTGATCTAATAATTTTGTTTTCTTCAGAAATGAGCTTTGTTGTTATAACAGCATTACAAAATAATTGGAAGCACAGCTATTTCCAGCTTCTACAGAGGAGTCTTGTGTTAAAGGTACATTCAATGAAATTAAAAATGTGTCATTAAAACATCAAATTTAAATTAATTTTGTCTAATAAGCAGCATCATGACTCATTAAAGGGACTGTGGGGACTGAATATGTGCACTATTACTTTGGTAAAATATTTAACAAAATAAGGGTACAACAGAGTCACTGAAACTTAATGAAGAAAAAACTTAACTTAAAAATGATTCAATAGGTCTTAAAAACTTTTAACCCTCACAATTTATAAGAGGATTTAGAGCCAGATGAGCTGTGAAAATAAACTGGCAATTGATTAAAAATCAATACTGGAAGTACAAATAATTAGGGTCCGGGCAGCTAAGCTGCCAGGGCACTATTGTAATCTTAGGTATTCTTCTTCTTTCTTATTTCTTCTTCCAAGGAAATCATATTTCCCATTGGAGAAAACTCACCAAACTTTGCACAAAGGTCCAGTCTCATGCCAGATATCCTCAGCTGTAAAGTCAAGCCAATAATCCTGATTGTGGTGCTACAGCAAGCGTCTAAAGTTCAAAACTTTGAAAATTCATAACAAATCAACCATATGTGCTACAACTTCACAACTTTCATCTGAAGAAACTTTTGTACACTTAAACCTATTAACAATTATGAAGTTCATCACTCTTTTTTTTTTTTCAAAAACTGTAAAACTTCTTAAACCTATCTCCTCCCACAATTTTTGCTCAATTGACACCAAACTTGCTACAGAGCATCTTCAGACTGTCCTACAAAAACTATGTTTCTCAGATTTTTGATTTATCAAAAAATTGAGCCTACAGTGCATCAAAATGTTTGACTGTAAACAGTACTGTAAACATATACATGCAAATTCTTGCTAAATAAATCTTCAATGTTCATGAAAAAAATTACAAAATTCTAGAGTCATGGTAGATGATGTGTGGCAAATTTCAGAATTTTATCTCAAAAACTGAATTTTTGACAGCATTTTGAATTTTACTCTAATGTGAGCAATTGGAGTCAATGTAAAAATGGCAATTTTAAACATCAGTTTTTCACTTATGGAGCAAATCAATCATTGTTACAAACAAATTACCAACATCTCCATGCTGTCTAGATGCAGTATGAGTATTTTCAGATTTTTGTTTCAATAACTGAATTTTTTACAGTGGTTTGAAATCTGCTTTTCCATGCATGGATGGCTGCTAAACCTGCAGGTCTGGCTTAGTCAATTTGTGAAGCTACACATGAATTTTCACTGACTAATTAGCTCAGTGAGATAGAAATTGATCCTTAGTCTCTTAGAGGTTGTGAGTTCAAGCCTCAGCTGATGCAAAAGGCAGATTGTGTTGCTAAAATCCTAAATGTCTTCCAATTCTTCAGCTTGTTGCTCAGAATTGCCTAAAAATGCCCGCATTCGACCCACTGCTGCGCAGCAGCCATAATTTGTGATGTATTTCTTGCAGTTCATTGAATGTCTGTATCAGATTTTTAGCAGCACAAGCACAACATGGCCACTGGAGGTCATGCTTTCCTTCAGTTTACCTAAAGAAGAGTTGAAAACCCTACAATTTAAAACTGAACTGAAAATAAAACATCTGTGTTTCTTTGGCTGGGAAAATAAATGCAGTCAAAATGGTAATTCTGCCACAATCTCTCTTCCTTTTCCAAGCTATCCTAACTTTCATCCCTCTGTCTTATTTTAAACAGCAGGACTAGCTCACCACACCCTTTGTACAAATCACCAAAACACACCTTATCAAAGGATGAGGGTGGTTTTGACCTGCCACACTCTAAAGTTTACTACTGGACGGCTCACTTAAGCATCGTATCATGGTGGGAAAAGGGCCCAGCAGCTGACTCAAGTGGCTGCCCAGTACGGCAATCACTAGAGCGTGTTCTTTGCTTCTTGCCCTTCTTAACAGCCCCACCATAAATGCTCCGTTAACTCTAGACGCAATGTGATACTATTTAAAACAGTGCATTGGCTGTTCTACTCCAAAGACAGATTGCATTAGACTTTCCCTGATGTTTCCCCCCTTTGTAGACGATACAAATAGGCAGATGGGACATCAAGACATTCTCTTTGGACATGTCAGGAATTGTTTATTTACTGGAAAAGTATACTTGAATGTTTCTCTAATGCATTTGAGGGGAACTGGGAACCTAACCCACTAGCTGCTGTCCTAGGGGCCAGCAGGTAGGAGAACAGCCTTTCCAATCCTGATAGGAGAGGAAGGTGGAATGACAGGAGATAAATTAGGCACACCTGTGAGCGGGGGAAGGGGGAAATCCATCAACAAGCTGCATGAAGGAGAATGGAGAGGAGTTAGAGTGGCTCAAGGAGAGGAGAATCAAAATTTACTTCAGTTATGGACATTCTTTGCTCAAAAACCTTAAACGGAGAAACATAAAATTAAAAGTAGAGTGAGCAGTAGTTAAATCAAGGATCGTCTGGGCCACGTAAACGTTCTGGATAACAAAGCTCCTTGAGGAAGTGTGCTGATCCCAGATGAGGTGGAATGAAGGGACTCTTAATCTAACTGTGTCACCTGTTTGGATGCACCGGTGGACTTCTTTGCAGTGTCCGTCTGATAAGTTCTCTTTTACTGCCCTCTCCTAGCTTCTCCCTTACTCACAGTACTTACTTCTGCGTTGAACTGACGTTGCAACTAGGCGTAGACTCTGCGTCAACATGGAGCCTTTGCTGTAAGTTGTGGCAACACAGACCTCCTGTCTTTTTTGTAAGCTGAAACTATTTCCCTCAGTGGAAACAAAGCTTAATTTCACAGATAAGAAACAATAAATTGTGAAGACAATAAAGCCTCCACAAAATAGCATAAGTCCTGTGTGTGATTTATCCTGGCTTCATATGAGCAGAGGAAATCTCTGCTAGCTGCTAGGCTAATTTATACAATGTAAAATGCAATAGACTTGTGCTAATAACGTCAGCATTTTGTATTTGTTTGGAAAACGTGTTTTGTATTAGACAGTTGTTTTGTCAGTGAACTTTGTGAGTTGAATGGTGCCAAATTACGTACCATTACCTTTGTTAAATGTTGCTGTTGTCCCTGGCTTCATATGAGTAGAGGAAATGTCCACTAGTTGCGAGGCTAATTTATACAATGTAAAATGCCATAGGCTTGTGCTAATAACATTAGCATGTTGTATTTGTGGGGAAAAGATTAACTCAAGTGTTTGTCTGTGAATGCTGTGAGTTATAATGAAGCCAATTTGTGTACTTGTGTTTGAAATTGTCTCTATTAAGCCATGTTTAATGTGTGTTTTGGGTGTGTTTTGAATCAACTGAACTTCACCAGTGTTTTGAAGGTGTAACTGCAGAGTGACACAGACACCACACACAAGTTTAAATGCTCACAATGGCGTAGGCGACGTGCATAGGGTCTGCCGCACTAGTCAGGCCGCTTCATACCAACATATGATATGTAGATAAGG